GGCCTGGGCCCCAGGCTGCAGTCTGTTCTGCATGGGGCCCAGAAGCCCCCACCCCAACTACAAGCTGCAAGAAACAACAAGACTGATCACTCTAGGTCTGAGGAGTAGGCTGCCTGGAATGCCAGGTTTTGAAATGTAGCATCTGGGATCTCTTGTCTCCATGACCTTTTTGAGGACCTGAGACGGGTTTCTTAGAGGCATTTTTGTCAGGAAGGAGTCAAGTTCCATGTGAATGAGCAGAAGTTCTCCTCTTTCAGGGGTTTGGAGTGTCTTGCACCCCCACCAGGGAGGAGCATGACCCTGGGAGAACAGTAGCCAAGTGAATGCATGTACAGACCCCAGCCACATCCTGAACTCTCTGTCTCTTCTTGCCAGGGGACATGGGAGTTTGGGATTGCCCCGAGGGAATGCTCTGTTTGTACTGCAAGCAATGCCAACCTTTCCTCACCAGGAACTTGGGAGTCTCTCCTTCTTCCACAATCAGGTTCTATAGGATGAGGGTCTAGTGGTCCTGAATGCTACATTCATGTGCAGGGCACCCTAGCAGGGTGGATTCCAGCCCTGGTTTGGAAGAGCACAGGGAGCAACGATCATCTTGTTATCCATATGCAGGAATCATGGATGTTCCCAGGTCGTGTCAGGGTCCCCAGGAGCCCCCTGCAGGGTCTCTCTAGCAGAGAAGTTCCCTCATTGCGACCACATTGCCATGGACACTAGAGGAAAATTGCCTTGTATTGGCAAAGCAGATATAGACACATCTGTGGTTTGCCATTGTTTTTATGTGTTAATTGTCCCCTTAGGAGGGCTGAAGGGAACCTTATCCTCATTTTGTGAAGTGGGAAATAATAGGAGAATCTCCACTGTCTCTTTTTTACTAGAGAACACACACTCTGGGGTGAAGGAAGAGTAGCTGAAGGTCCCCAGGGGTTGAGACAAAGTGAGTGTGGGTCCCTGAGCTCAAGGGCTGTGCCCTGTCACTGAAGGGATGGCCCCTGCTGTGTCCAAGAGTGCAAAGGCCCCCTGCCCTGAGGTTTTCTGACTGGCCCTCCCTGTACTCATGATACCAGGGGACACACTGTCTTTGCCACAGGACATGGTGCTCCCTCTGTGCCCAGAATGGTTCCCTTCCTCATCTCGTGTCTTCCCCTCATGGTGGCAGTCACCTGCTCCCTGCGGGAACCAGCTGTGTTTTAGCTGCAGGAGCGGTCACTGTGTCACTGAGCTATGGTCCAGTGAGGGAGTTTGAGATAGGTCCTCAGGGGACACATTGCTCCAGATTTCTGTGGCTCTGTGGTGGCAGGCCAATGATAAAACCCTCACATTGTAATGGTTCAACCCAGTGGGTTTCTTGAGGAAACAGAGAAGTTAAGCAGCTGTTCCTGTAAGAACAAGGCTTGGCTGAAGGGTTTTCTTCTCCCAAATTCCTGCCATTGACCCTCCTGGACCCTTCTCTTTTTCCCCTACCCTAGAAACTAGCCAGAAGCCTGTCATTCAACCCTTCTCCCTTGCCAGCTGACAAGGGTGCTTGGGGCCAGCACCGCATGTCAAGTTCATTTTCTGGGTCATGGTTCCCCCCAGTACCGAAGTCACAGGTGGTTCCTAGGGAATAGGTGGGTGCGAGGCAGGGGGGCAGAATTTCATGCTGGAGCAATCCCTGAGTCTGGGTGAATAACCCTGTGCCCTGGAGATGTCATCAGATGCTGAACACACATGGAGTCACACAATGATAAATGACCAGGGTTTTATTGAGAAAAATGGGAAATGGGGAGGCAGTGAGACCAGCCCAGCCTGAGCAGACAGGGGCGGGAGTCCCAGGGGGTACAGTGGAGAGGTGGGGAATGGGTGATCTGGATGAGCAGAGTCCCAGAATGTGGGGGGCTCAGTGTCCTAGGAACACTCCGAGGGGACCACTGTCTTCTCCACAGTGCTGCCTTCGTGGGTCACCTGGCAGCTGTACTGGCTGGCAGATTTCCACTTGCTGGCTGACACGCTCAGGTAGCTGCTGGCCGCATACTTGTTGTTGCTCTGCTTGGAGGGCTTGGTGGTCTCCACGCCCTGGGAGACGGGGCTGCCATTTTCCTTCCAGGCCACTGTCACGGCTCCCGGGTAGAAGTCACTGACCAGACACACCAGTGTGGCCTTGTTGTTGCCGAGCTCGTCAGTGGAGGGCGGGAACAGAGTGACTGAGGGTGCGGACTTGGGCTGACCTGTGGGGTGGTAGGGGAGCAGGAAGTCAGGTGTGTAGTTCAGAGGCCACTCTGGGTCATAGGGTCCTTGACATGCACAACAGTGTGCTGTGCTCTTAACGTAACTCGCCACTTTCCTCAGAGAGCTGGAGTCTGTACACCTGTCTTCACCTGTCCTTTGGTCCCTCGTCTGCCCCACTGACACCTGACTGTCACCATCTTGGTTGCATCTTTCCTTATAACAGGGTGTGTCATTCTGTTTGCCCCTTGAGAAGGTGATATGAGCTCTCTGATCTCTTGCGCCAGTCTCTGTACCCTTCTCTGGTGGGCTGTTTGGATCTTTGTTCAAAGGCTCCAGTGTTTCTCTGAAACATCTCTGGACCTTGCATGTTATGGTAGCATCTTGGCTAGTCAAACAGATGTCTTTCTGTCTATCCTCGGTCTCTGTCCTTGTACATTTGTCACACCCCTCACACACTCAGCTCATTCATCATAGAGTTAGGGCCTTCATGCTGTAGAGCCTGTCTTTCTTTGTGTGAATTTTGTCCTGCTGTTACTGAGGGGCCCACCTCATCCTCGTCCCCTGTCTGCATGACCCTTCTGCCAGCGCCTTCTCCTCCCCACTGTGTTTTCTCTCCCTCAGGCTCTCCCATCGCAGTTAGTAGAGGACACTACATGGCAGCTTTGTGCAGGCCCCCTCAGTCCTTCATATTTCCTGGCCTCTGATCATAACCCCACAGTCCCGAGGTCCTTTCCTTAACTCTACACCTGTGTGTCTCTAGCCATGACCCTGAGGGTTCTTGTTCCTTCAAAAGTCTGTATGTCATCAAACCCTCAATACTACTTACCCTCCCTTCCCTCCGAGATGGGACCCCTAGTAACCCACAGAAGTGAATCTGGAATCCTGGTACTCGAAGGAGAACACAGAACAGAGCCAGTCATGAATCTAGCCAGACCCAGGCAGACAGAGAGGAGCCTACAAGTCACTCTGTCCATTGCTCTGTCTCTGGAGTCAGAGGTGAGTGTCTGATAGTGACCATGGAGACAAGCAGGACAGCAAGAAGAGGGAGAGGAGGAACACAGGGTCCCAAGGTTTGAGATCCTGGGGGAAAGTTTGGCTACAGGTTGAGACTACACCCAACAAAGAAGCAAAAACAGCAGAAAAGTGCCCAAAAGTGTAGGAGAGCAGGAAGAGGGGAAGGGAGACTCACCTAGGACGGTTAGATGCGTCCCTCCGCCGAACACAACACACTGTGACACAGACTCAGACAAAAACCTCTGTGGGAGCCCTGCCCCACCTCTGAGCCCCCCACCTGCAGCTGTGATGGAGGAAGCCTGTGTCTGTGCCCCAGGCTGCTGTCTGCTCAGCATGGGACACACACACTCCCTTCCCCCACAAGCAGATATAGGGTGCGTGTCATGGGCCACGTGCAGCAACAGTGCTGTGGAAAGGAATTCTCCCAATTCGTTTTGGTGTCTGATGTGAATTCCCCACTACATCTCCTGGGATTTGGGATTAGTCTGAAGGGCATTGCTGTCACTATGAATAGGTTGCCATGACAATGGATGACGCATCTTTCATAGGTTCAAATCATCCAAATCTCATGGAGACATAAAAGGAGGGCAGAATACATCCTCTCCTATGTACCTTCCCCTTCCTTGGAGAGGCATGTGGCTTGTGGACAGAGTCTATCGGCCACCTCTTATGTCCCCAACCATCAAACAGGAGCGCAAACTTATCTTTTCCAGTGACAGCTTAGATTTGGACTGCACTGACTGAAGTGCGGGTGGCCTTGTAGGAAATGGCATCCTTCCTTTAGGGTCACCTTCTGAGTGTTCTCTGTGGTCCCTTAACCTGGTCTCATGTTGAGAAGGATCTGGTGCTGCCATTGTGGCTCTCCTTCATTCAATGGGGGACATGAGCAGCACTTTGACTGTGGCCCTAAATCCCTGTTGCACTGAAGGGAACCTGCAGCAGTGGCTCCTTTCAGGCCAAGTGTTGGTCTCTCGAGGATGAGGCACATTATGTTGTGACCTACAAGTAGAGCCATAGAGATCCCCCAGGGTCATGTCAGGGCATCCAGAGGTCCTCACACACAGATGTTCCCCATGGACAAATGTCCAGCATTTGCAGACACACTGTGGTCATTGGTAGAGGACATTGGCTACCTGTTCACACAGCAGACATGTTCACACTGTGTCCCTTGTCACGTCACTCAGCAGCAATTGTTCACCATGGCAGGAAGGCTGGAACCAAAAGGACGTTCTGTGACCTGGTGGACAACAGAGGACAGTCTCCATTGCTCCCTTCTTCCTGGTGTGAAACTCACTTTGGGATGAAGTTAGCACCACTGAAGGTGCTGACTGTGGGGAACTCACAGCAAGAGGAGGGCAGAACTGAGAATTCCCAGGATGCATTGCTTTCCTACCTGCTGGGTGAGGCATTGCGCAGGACTGTAGCTAAGGCCACTCCAAGGGGTCAATGCCACCATGCCTCCCTTGGTGCAAAGTAAGCAATCAACCTGGGAAGCAATTTCTCCCCAAGACCAATCTGGATCTTGTGAAGCCTCTGATGTCAGAACCACTTTGTAAGAATGTGAAGCAGAGAATCCCACCCAGGTACCATGTGGGGAGCCTGGGGACCCCACCCTGACCCTGGGAGACTCTGCACTACCAGCAGCTCCAGAGCCACAGCCACCTCCTCCCATGAAAACCTGGAGCAAATTAAGAAACACGTGGAGAGCCAGCGTCTGCCAATCACTATGTGAAACTTCATCCAATCCATGTAGAGAGAGAAAAAAACAACAACAAATAGATAACCAAATATAACGATACCCAAAATTCAATCAAGGAAATACACTATGAGCCATTAAATGAGAGAGTGTTTTTTGATATTCAAGAATTATTGATAATTTCTGTCAGGTTTGATCATGATAATGTAGGTATCTCTGAGGACCATACCTCTGAGCACCCTAACAAAATACTTACAGATGAAGAGTTACATCTGGAATTTGCTTCAACATATTGCATAAGATAGGACTTACTATGGTTTTGTAGGGTGAGCATGATGAGGGAATGGATGACTTTGGGGGACTTGTGGAAGAAACGTGGGGTCATTTAGAATCATCTGCCTTTTCATTCTTGTGTTCCCAGTTTCCCACAATGAGAACCCACACAAAGTGAATGCGAAATTGGTGTAACGTGGAGGTGACACTCAGGCCTTGTAGCAGCAGGGCCATCAAGATGAGAGAGAGCTGGGTGGCCCCTTCCCTGGAGGGACCTAAACATGCAGATTCAGGGAAGGGGTCAGACAGATGCTATGGGACTCTGGGATCCCCGAACTTCCTTCCACGTTTTCAGGTGTGATTGGGGCAGAGGTGGTTGTGATGAAGCTCCAAGGAGGCCCCTTCTTCTGCTCTGTTCTGCTTCCAAGGCTCCCTGCCCTTAAGTCCCTGGGTCTGGGCTGTTATGGACACCCAGCAACTGTGGTGAGGGTAGCTCCATGTCACTGAAGAGCTGGAGGTCCACAAAGGAGGCCTGGGAGCCTGGCAGCTGTGGCCTGGGAGCCTGCTGGGCCCTCAGATTTGTGAGCTGAACACATATGCCTCAGGGCCTGGGAGGGAGGGTGTCTCTGACAGCAGGCTTCAGGTGCCCCAGGGGCTGAGCCACAGTGAGCAACAACTGAGGGGTGTGGACAGGGGGTCTGAAACCACCCAGTCACCATGGAAAGAGGACCTTGCTGTACCCCCCAACCACACACACTTTTCCCTGAGCCAATCTGCCCCAATCTAACTTCACCCCCTCCTCTGAAAGTGGCCACTCTCCTGCGGAAATCACTGAGGTCCTTCCTGCACCCAGGACAGTGTCCTTTCTCAGTGACTCTGTGATTTCGAGTCTCCCACTCATGCAGGCTGAAATCGTTAGCTCTGTCCATCAGCCAATCCCAAATGAACTCTCTCCCTGAGCAACTTCAGATGTCCATACTCTTCATGGTTGTGGTCTCTTAGTTCCTGGCTAGGGCAACCTAGATGTTGAACTTGATCCCCAAAAGATCTGAACATAAACTCCTCAGCTGTGTGTTTCAGGCTCACCTGTCACCCTCCTCATTGCTCCCTGATTCTTCCTCAGGTCCCAGATCCCTGATACTCAGCCCTTCTCCCTTCCCAGGTGACAAAGCCTGCTGCATTCAGGGGTTCTGCCCGACAACAAGTCCTGCTCAGGGTCAGCTTTCCCATCAGCACACAGAGCTCACATGCTCCCTGGGGGATAGGGTGGACAGACAAAGGTAAAGAGGAATCTGTGTCATAACTACCACTCCTTTAATTACTGACCCTTTAGCCTAGAGACCCATCCAGACACAGAATGCACATCACCACTTTATGACAGATGATCAGGTGTTTATTAAGGAGAAGTAGGAGAGGTGGGGGTGTGACATGTCCAGTCAGATCTGACTGGGGATGGTCGGAGTCTGTGGAATATAGTGGAGAGGTGGGGAATGGGCCACTTGGCTGAGGAGGATCCCCAAATATTGGGCCTCGGTGTCTTAGGAACACTCTGAGGGGACCACTGTCTTCTCCACGGTGCTGCCTTCGTGGGTCACCTGGCAGCTGTACTGGCTGGCAGATTTCCACTTGCTGGCTGACACGCTCAGGTAGCTGCTGGCCGCATACTTGTTGTTGCTCTGCTTGGAGGGCTTGGTGGTCTCCACGCCCTGGGAGACGGGGCTGCCATTTTCCTTCCAGGCCACTGTCACGGCTCCCGGGTAGAAGTCACTGACCAGACACACCAGTGTGGCCTTGTTGTTGCCGAGTTCGTCAGTGGAGGGTGGGAACAGGGTGACCGAGGGTGCGGACTTGGGTTGACCTGTGGGGTAGGAGGGTGGGAGCAGGAGGTCAGATGTCAAGTTCAGAGGCCAGTCTGGGTCTGAGGGTCCTTGCTATGCACAACAGTTTGCTGTGTTCTAAACACCAATCCCCACTTTCCTGAGAGACCCGGAGCCTGGACTCCTGCCTTCACTGTCCTTTGGTCCTTCTTCTCCCCGACTGACACCAGCCTGTCACCTTCTTGGTTGTACCTTTCCCTCGTAACAGAGAGTGCATTCTGTTTGCTCCCAGAGAAAATAATATGAGCTCTCTGATCTCTTCCTGAGCCAGTCTCTGTACCCTTCTGTGTTGGTCTTTGTTGAAAGTGGCCTTTTTCCCTGAAATCTTTCTCTTTTGAACCTTCTCTGACATAGCAGGTCTTAGGAAGTCAAAGAGAAGCCTGTCTGTATATCCTCACTCTTTGTCCTTCTACTCTAGTCTCAGCCGCTGCACATTCAGCCCATTGATCATACAGCTAGAGCCCTCCAAAGTTAGAGTCTGCCTTTCTTTTTGTGACGTGTGTCCCGCAGAAGACAACTGGTCCACCTTGTCCACATTTCCTCCCCCTGCATGAACCTTGTTCCAGCACCTTCTCCTCCCCACTGTGTCCTCTGTCCTGCAGGGCTCTCCCGTCCCAGTCTGGTCCAAGACACTGTCCAGCAGCTTTGTGCAGGCCCCCTCTGCCCCTTGCATATTTCCTGGTCCTTGGTCAGATCCCAGCATCCCTGAGGTCCTTCCCTTCACTCTATACCTGTGTGTCTCTAGCCATGGCCCTGAGGGTTCTACTTCCTTCCACAGTCTACACATCATCACCCCACCAATACTACTTAGCCACTCTCTCCCCAAAGGTGGCACCCCTAGTAAGCCCTAGAAATAAATCTGGAACCCCAGGACTGGAAGGGGAACACAGAATGGAGCCTGTTGTGAATCCAGCCTGACCCAGGCAGACGCACACAAGAGTTTACAAGTCACATTGTCCATTCCTCTGTCTGTGGGGTTAGAGCTGAAGGTCTGACAGTGACCACTGGAGACAAGGAAGACATTAAGAAGAAAGACAGAAGCAGCTCAGGGTGCCCATGGTTGGGATGCTGGGTGAAAGGTGGCTACAGGATGTGACAGGACTGAGAAAAGACTGAAAACAGCAGAAAGTTTCCCAGCTGCTGGGAGAAGCAGGGAAGGAGGGGGAAGGAGAGACTCACCCAGGACGGTCAGATGGGTCCCTCCGCCGAACACACCACACTGTGACACAGGCTCATACAAAAACCTCTGTGGGAGGCCCTGCCCCACCCCTGAGCCCCCCAACCTGCAGCTGTGACGAAGGCAGCCTGGGCCTCTACCCTGGGCTGCTGTCTGCTGTGTTTGGGACCCAGAAGCCCCCAACTCCTACTACAAGCCAAAATATGTAACAGGACCAGTGTCTCTGTGTGCTCATGCGCTGGCTGTCTGGAAAGCCAGAATCCAGAATGTAGGTGTCCTCTGGGATCCCGCTTCCAAATGAGCTCCAGCAGGACTGGGGGCAGATTTCTTGGAGCCATTTGGGTCATAAGCAGGCAAGTTAATGGGAATGAGCAGATGTTCTCTTGTCTGAGGGGACTGGAGTGTCCCGCACCTTCAGGAGGGAGGGGCATGACCCCGGAGAACGGTAACTGTAGGAATGTACCTGTGGACCTCAGCCCCACCATGAGGTCTCAGCCTCATCTTCCCTGGTGACATGCGAGTTTGGCATTGTCCCGAGGGATTCTTCAACTTGTATTGCAAGCAGTGCCAGCCCATCCTCCATGAGGAACTCTGGAGATTCTCCTTTCCCTCCACGCTCGTGTTTTAAGGGATGAGGGTCTGGTGGTCCTGAGTCCTACATTCATGTTCAGAGCACTCTGATCAGGGTGGATTCCAGCCCTGGGTTTGGAAAAGCTCAGGGAGCAACCATCATATTGTTGTGTCTACACAGGAGCTATGCATGTTCCCAGGTCCTGTCAGGGTCTCAAGCTACCCCCTGCGGGGGCTCTAGCAGAGAAGTCCCGTCATTGAGACCGCACTGGCATGGACGCTAGAGGAAAACTGCAGTGCACTCGCACAACCGATACACATAGAATGTGTCATTTGTCGTTGTTTTATGTGTGAATTGTCCACTTGGGAGGGCTGAAGGGAAGCACGTTCTCATTTTGTGAAGAGGGAAATAAAAGAAGAATCTTCACTTTGTATTTTTCACGAGAGAACGCACACTGTTGTGAAGGGAGAGCAGCTGAAGGGCCCCTGGTGAAGAGACAAAGTGGGTGTGGGGTCCTGAGATCCACAGAAGTGCTGTGTCCCCAGGGCAGCAGCAGGGGTGAGGGAGGTGTTGGAGAGGAACAGCTGACCCTGCTGTATCCCAGAATGCTCAGGGCCCCTGCCCTGAGGACTTCTGAACCTCCCTCCCACAACTCTTGACTTTCAGATAACACGCCCTCCCTGGGACAAGACATGGTGCTCCCTCTTTGTTCAGGAAGGTGTCCTTCTTCATCTCGTGTGCTGCCCTCATGATGGCAGAGGCCACCTGCACCCTCTGGGAACCAGCTGTGTGTTTGCTGTAAAAATGTTTAGTGTCTTTCTGACCTATGGTCCAGTGAGGAAGTTTGAGACACATCCTTAAGGGACACATTGTTCCAGATTACTGTGGCTGTGTGGTGACATACCAATGACACAACTTTACCTTGTAGTGGTTCAGCCCAGTGGGTTTCTTGTGGAAACAGGGAAGTTAAACAACTGTTCCTGTAGAAGAAGGCTTGGGTCAAGGGTCTTCTTCTCCCAAATACCTACCATTGACCCTCCCCAAGCCTCTTCATTTCTCACTGACCCTAAACAGTGGCCAGAAGCCTCTCACTCAGCCCTAGTCTCTTGCCAGGTGGCAAGGACCCGTTCCCTGGGACCTGGCCTGCAGGATAAGTTCACCTTCTAGGTCATACTTGGTTCAGTACTGGGATCAGAGCTGGTTCCTGGGGAATAGGTGGGTGGGAGGCCAGGGAAAGAAAATTCATGCTGATGCAACCCCTGAGTCTGGATGAGTAACCCTTCATCCCGGAGACGTCATCAGATGCTACACACACACAGAGGCACACAAAGATAAATGTCCAGGGTTTTATTGAGAAAATGGAGAAATGGGGAGTTTTTGAGACCAGCCCAGCCTGAGCAGACAGGGGCAGGAGTCCCAGGGATACAGTGGAGAGCTAGGGATTGGATGATGTGGCTGAGCAGAGTCCCAGGATATGGGGGCTCAGTGTCCTAGGAACACTCTGAGGGGACCACTGTCTTCTCCACAGTGCTGCCTTCGTGGGTCACCTGGCAGCTGTACTGGCTGGCAGATTTCCACTTGCTGGCTGACACGCTCAGGTAGCTGCTGGCCGCATACTTGTTGTTGCTCTGCTTGGAGGGCTTGGTGGTCTCCACGCCCTGGGAGACGGGGCTGCCATTTTCCTTCCAGGCCACTGTCACGGCTCCCGGGTAGAAGTCACTGACCAGACACACCAGTGTGGCCTTGTTGTTGCCGAGCTCGTCAGTGGAGGGCGGGAACAGAGTGACTGAGGGTGCGGACTTGGGCTGACCTGTGGGGCAGGAGAGGGTCAAGAGGTCAGATGTCTAGAGGCCACTGTGGGTCCGAGGGACCTTGTCAGGAGCAAAAGTTTGCCCTGTTTCTAAAGCAACTTTCTGTTTTCCTGAGAAACCAGGAGCCTGGACAAGTGCCATCATCTGTCTTTGGTTCTTCTTCTGTCCCTGAGACAACTGACAGTCACATGCTTGGCTGTGTTTTTGCCTGATATTCAGACAGGGCTTGTTCTTCTCTTTGTTCCCAGAGAAGATAATATGGGCTGTCTGAGAGCCTCTGGGGCCAGTCTCTGTACATTTCTGACCTGAACCTTCTGTGTCTGGATCTTACGGTCATTGTTCAGAGGGTCCTGTTTTTCCTGTGTAATCTCTCTCTCCTGGACCTTCTCTGACATGGCAGGCCTTAGGTAGTCAAAGAGAAGCCTTTCTGTCTGTCTTCAGGTCTCTGTCCTTGTACATTTGTCACAGCCCCTGTGCACTCAGCCCACTGGTCATGCAGCCATAGTCTCATGGTATAGAGTGTGCCCTTCCTTGGGTGAAGTTAGTCCTGTAGAGACCAAGGCCCACCTTGTCCTCATCCCCTGTCATTGCATGACCCTTCCTCCAGCACCTTCCACTGCCCTCTGTGTTCTCTCTCCTGCAGGGCTCTCCCGTCCCAGTCTGGTCAAGGACCCTGCACGGCAGCTGTGTGCCAGCCCCATCCATTCCTGCATAGTTTCTGAGGATGTGACCAGAAGTCTCATCCCTGAGGATCCTCCCTTATCTTTTGACCTGTGGAAATCTATCCTTGGCCTTGAAGGTTGAAGGGTCCTTCTAAGAGTGTATGTGGTCACCCCTTGAGGACTACTTGTCCTGTCTTCCCCTAGAAAGAGAACCCCTGGAAACAACACCAAAAATATCTGTTACACCAGAGCCCAAAAGGGAACTCAGGACACAGCGCATCAGGAATGTATCCTGACCCTGGCAGCCAAGCAAAGAGTCTATGAGTCAATCTGTCCAGTTTCTTCTGTCCCTGGTGTCAGAGCACAAGGTCTGATAGTGACCATGGAGATAAGCAGTAGAGTAAGAGGAGGGAGAGGAGGAGCTCAGGGTCCCAAGATTTGAGATCCTGGCTGAAAGCTTGGCTATAGACTGAGACTAAACTCAGGAAAGGAGCAGAAAATGGCACAGAAGTGTGGGAGAGTGGGGAAGGATGGGGAAGGAGAGACTCACCTAGGACGGTCAGATGGGTCCCTGAGCCGAACACCCAACACTGTGACACAGGCTCATACAAAAACCTCTGTGGGAGGCCCTGCTCCACCCCTGAGCCCCCCACCTGCAGCTGTGATGGAGGCAGCCTGGGCCTGGGCCCCAGCCTGCTGTCTGCTCTGCATGGGGCCCAGAAGCCCCCACCCCAACTACAAGCTGCAAGAAACAACAAGACTGATCACTCTAGGTCTGAGGAGTAGGCTGCCTGGAATGCCAGGTTTTGAAATGTAGCATCTGGGATCTCTTGTCTCCATGACCTTTTTGAGGACCTGAGACGGGTTTCTTAGAGGCATTTTTGTCAGGAAGGAGTCAAGTTCCATGTGAATGAGCAGAAGTTCTCCTCTTTCAGGGGTTTGGAGTGTCTTGCACCCCCACCAGGGAGGAGCATGACCCTGGGAGAACAGTAGCCAAGTGAATGCATGTACAGACCCCCAGCCACATCCTGAACTCTCTGTCTCTTCTTGCCAGGGGACATGGGAGTTTGGGATTGCCCCGAGGGAATGCTCTGTTTGTACTGCAAGCAATGCCAACCTTTCCTCACCAGGAACTTGGGAGTCTCTCCTTCTTCCACAATCAGGTTCTATAGGATGAGGGTCTAGTGGTCCTGAATGCTACATTCATGTGCAGGGCACCCTAGGAGGGTGGATTCCAGCCCTTGGTTCAGAAAAGCACAGGGAGCAACGATCATCTTGTTATCCATATGCAGGAATCATGGATGTTCCCAGGTCGTGTCAGGGTCCCCAGGAGCCCCCTGCAGGGTCTCTCTAGCAGAGAAGTTCCCTCATTGCGACCACATTGCCATGGACACTAGAGGAAAATTGCCTTGTATTGGCAAAGCAGATATAGACACATCTGTGGTTTGCCATTGTTTTTATGTGTTAATTGTCCCCTTAGGAGGGCTGAAGGGAACCTTATCCTCATTTTGTGAAGTGGGAAATAATAGGAGAATCTCCACTGTCTCTTTTTTCACTAGAGAACACACACTCTGGGGTGAAGGAAGAGTAGCTGAAGGTCCCCAGGGGTTGAGACAAAGTGAGTGTGGGTCCCTGAGCTCAAGGGCTGTGCCCTGTCACTGAAGGGATGGCCCCTGCTGTGTCCAAGAGTGCAAAGGCCCCCTGCCCTGAGGTTTTCTGACTGGCCCTCCCTGTACTCATGATACCAGGGGGCACACTGTCTTTGCCACAGGACATGGTGCTCCCTCTGTGCCCAGAATGGTTCCCTTCCTCATCTCGTGTCTTCCCCTCATGGTGGCAGTCACCTGCTCCCTGCGGGAACCAGCTGTGTTTTAGCTGCAGGAGTGGTCACTGTGTCACTGAGCTATGGTCCAGTGAGGGAGTTTGAGATAGGTCCTCAGGGGACACATTGCTCCAGATTTCTGTGGCTCTGTGGTGGCAGGCCAATGATAAAACCCTCACATTGTAATGGTTCAACCCAGTGGGTTTCTTGAGGAAACAGAGAAGTTAAGCAGCTGTTCCTGTAAGAACAAGGCTTGGCTGAAGGGTTTTCTTCTCCCAAATTCCTGCCATTGACCCTCCTGGACCCTTCTCTTTTTCCCCTACCCTAGAAACTAGCCAGAAGCCTGTCATTCAACCCTTCTCCCTTGCCAGCTGACACAGGTGCTTGGGGCCAGCACCGCATGTCAAGTTCATTTTCTGGGTCATGGTTCCCCCCAGTACCGAAGTCACAGGTGGTTCCTAGGGAATAGGTGGGTGCGAGGCAGGGGGGCAGAATTTCATGCTGGAGCAATCCCTGAGTCTGGGTGAATAACCCTGTGCCCTGGAGATGTCATCAGATGCTGAACACACATGGAGTCACACAATGATAAATGACCAGGGTTTTATTGAGAAAATGGGAAATGGGGAGGCAGTGAGACCAGCCCAGCCTGAGCAGACAGGGGCGGGAGTCCCAGGGGTACAGTGGAGAGGTGGGGAATGGGTGATCTGGATGAGCAGAGTCCCAGAATGTGGGGGCTCAGTGTCCTAGGAACACTCCGAGGGGACCACTGTCTTCTCCACAGTGCTGCCTTCGTGGGTCACCTGGCAGCTGTACTGGCTGGCAGATTTCCACTTGCTGGCTGACACGCTCAGGTAGCTGCTGGCCGCATACTTGTTGTTGCTCTGCTTGGAGGGCTTGGTGGTCTCCACGCCCTGGGAGACGGGGCTGCCATTTTCCTTCCAGGCCACTGTCACGGCTCCCGGGTAGAAGTCACTGACCAGACACACCAATGTGGCCTTGTTGTTGCCGAGTTCGTCAGTGGAGGGTGGGAACAGGGTGACCGAGGGTGCAGACTTGGGCTGACCTGTGGGGTTGGGGGAGGGCAGGACGTCAGAGGCTCAGGATCCATCCTGGGAGTTCGTGACCACAGTCTAGATTTGTGTAGCACACACCCAATTTCAGGGCAAGGACCACAGTTTCATCTTGAGTCCCCTTCATCAGGTCAGTGATGGGAGGTGAGAATTCCTGTTGGGAAAATCTCAGGACCTGACTCTTGGGAGTGCTGGTACCCTTTTGCCCATCATTGGTCCTCAGGTCCACTGTCCTTATTTCCTACCATCCCACCCTCTGCTCCCGTGGTCTTGTGTCCTTTACCTCGAGAGCTCATCTTTCCTTAGAGAACGGGGACATCTACCCCTCTCACAGCTAGCTCCTAGCGGATTCCTCTGCCCAGTGTCTTCACAATGGGGCCTGTGTCTGTCCTGGGTTCAGACTGTCCTCCATATGAGGGATGGCGTATCTTGCTCACAGTCCCCGGACCCCATAGCTGCAACCCCTGCTCCACTGCCCACGGAGAACCCTTCAGGACCACAGAAGTGGGGAGTGAGGGGTGTTATCACTGCGGCCTCACTTTTAGGGGGTTACCTGGGTTTCCATGGAACATGGCTGTTCAGTTCTTAGCCTGAGTCTGGGACTGTTCTAAGAGGGACTTCCTGTCCTGTAAGCTTTACTGGGGGAACCTGACTGTCTGCTAGGCCAGCTCTGCCCTTGTCACCTCTCCCAGGAGGTGTTCCCAGCCTGTGTTCTGGGCACTTGTTCTAGGCTTTCTCTCCCAGTGGAAATAGGGGCTGGGCAGTCACTGGGGCCTGTCTGATTGTCTTGCACCTATTCTGTCTGGAGCTCCCACCACCCATTCTGTCAGGGGCTCCTGGCACTTGTTCTGTCTGTGGGTTTGGCCTATCTGGGGGAGGAATAAAGTTCCAGCACTCCGAGGCTGTCTCATGGGAGATCTCCCTTCCACTCTGTCTGCCCTGCGTCTATTCCTCCTCCTCCCCTCTAGGTCTCAGCGAGGAGCTTCTCTTATAGCCCCTCACTAACTGCCACTTACACAGAAGAGACAGAACTCGAGAGTGATATACATGCACCATTCAATGGACCCCTGCCTTGTACCCACATCCCACAACCCTGGATGACCATGGAGAGGCTCCTTCTCTCATGGCCCTTCAGCCCCTTAATTCTCCTAAGACCTCAGGCTTTGAGTTCTGAGGGACCAGCCTCCTGGAGGTTAGGAGGCAATGTCCCCTTGAGACAGATCTCTGGGCCACAGTGAAAATTGGCAGAAAACATCTTGTTCCCACCAGGTACCTCAGTAGTTAAGAGTTAGGGGGCTAAGACAGGTAGCCAAAGGTGGAAGTTCCAGAATGCCAGAGTGATTCCCACCCCATCTCAACCCCACAAATGAAAAAAGGAGAAAAAGCAACCCCAGTTTCACTCTGGACCCCAAGCAGATGGAGAAGGGGAGACTCACCCAGGACGGTCAGATGGGTCCCTCCGCCGAACACATAACACAGTGACACAGCCTCGAACATAAACCTCCTGTCACCCCTCCAGCCCCTGCCCAGGCCCACCTGCAGCTGCACGGGAGGCCCAAAGTCCAGCCTCCTTGTCACGCATGCTGATCGGGCAGATGGGGGGAGGGGGGCAGTGAGAAGGGTGGCCCTGAGGATGCAATTTCCATTCTCAGGAGCCGTGGGACTCCATGAGTTCTAGGCTATCATGACGTGGCATGGCAGAGAATGTGCTGGTGCTGAGTCAGGATTTCTACCTGTTTCCATCTTTGGGAAGGAGCCGTGTTCTGGCCCAGCCCCTGGCACACTGTCACTGTGGAATTGGCATGCAGGACTGTTTATACACAGCGGTGATGGAGCTGGGAGCCCTGGGGAGAGCTGGGAATTGTGGGGGGGTCCTGGATGCCATCACATCCCCAGCACATGAGGTCAAGGTGGGTCAGGGGTGGGAATGGGAAGTGCGTGTGTGGGAGTCTCACATTCACCCTCAGCATCCAGACCAGTGTGCGGAGACCCACTTTGTGGTGTCCCTGCCCTCAGCTGAGCCAGCCTCATTGGGACAGTCACTGAGTCCCTCCTGAGCAGTGTGGGCAGCTTCAATCTGTGTGAATCCATGGGCTGAATTAGAGGTGGAAAGGCCCCTTCAGGACCCCGCACAGTCAGGTAGGGGGTCACCTCTGCCAACACAGTGTTTTCTGTGAGCACTCAGAGTGTGAGTTTCTGAGCCCCCTCATACCCCCGAGTGACAGAGGTCCAAGTTCAGCAAAGTCACTAGCACAGGGTGCACCACCAGCCTTCCAAAGACATTGCAGCCCTGGGCTGAATGTGCATGTTGTGAGAGGGAACCCGACACCCAGGGGCTCAGCCCTCGTTCTTGTCTTGTACGTCATCTGCAGGGCTCACTCAAGGGACACACAGGCCTGGCGTCCTTCTCTGACAGCGTCAGGGCCACCGAACGCTCTCCCTTCCTTCCCATGCCAACCCTCTGCTGAAGGCCAGACTCCATCCCAGAAACTTCCTCAGGTTTCCCGTCTCACTCTCAACCTGGACCAGAGTGTCCCTGCCCTTTGTCTGGTCGCTGATTGTCTCTGGAGCCGGGACTGCAGTGAGCTGCCTCTCTTTGTTCATGTGCACCTGGGCTCCCGACTGAACACCTTCTCCCTGAACTTCTCCAGGCCTTCTCAGAGCGATGCCCTCTAAGGGCATCTTTGTACATGGACATGCATCTTAATGAACATCATGTGTGTAAGTGTACGTGTATGTGCACCTACACCTGTGTGTGTTACTGTTCTGATTTTACCCAAAGGAGGTGAACTGATTACTGAAGAGCCAATGGCCCATTCTTAGAATTTGACTCTTGACTTTGACAGAGGTGCAGGCAGGTCACTGAGATCACTGGACATTAGACCTTGTGGTGGGATGAGTGGCGGCTGGCCTGGAAAGGGATGGAGAGGGCAGGTCTGTCCTGTCTCTGAGGGGCCTCGCATAGAGCAGGGACCCTGGTGACACCTGTGAGAGGTGAGGGTCACCACAGAGAGTGTGAGAGTGAGCAACCAGGTCCCAGAGACTGAGGGTCCTGCGGTGAGAGTGTCAGTGAGGGACTGGTAACTGAAGCACAGCTCACGTCCTCACTGGGAGAGCAGGAGTAGTGGTGGTGGGGTCTATAAGCAAGAAGGGAGTTCCTAGCCTGTGAGGATGAGAAGCTTCCAGATGGGGTGGCGGGCCATGCAAGGCTTGTGAATAAGAAGAATGAGGATGCCCTAGAAAGGCGCTCAAGCCCGACCGTGGTGTCCACAGGGACCAAGCCTTGGGATTGGACATGGTCAACAGGAGAAAAGCAGCAGTAGGGAAGTTGTGAAGGGAGGGCTCTACTAGCTCATACTGCCCTTTCCTCCTTTCTGGAGTTTTCTACAGGCCCTTTAGGTTAGGAGTGAAATTGCCACTTAAGGAAACATGAAGGCTATTTCCCTGGACATGTTGCACAGGGCCAAGGGGTTGTGTCCAATTTGCTTTTGGTGGAGTTCTGGACAAAAATGAGCAAAGCAAAGATGAGCATAGAACATGATATCTGATTGACAAGGAAGATATTTTATTGAGAGATGCTTATGTTCAGGAAGAAGATGGATTGGGGTTCGGCAGAGAGATTTCTCCAGGGTCATGTGGTTCCAACCCAAGGAGTTGCAACGTGAGGGTCCTAGGAACACTCCGAGGGGACCACTGTCTTCTCCACAGTGCTGCCTTCGTGGGTCACCTGGCAGCTGTACTGGCTGGCAGATTTCCACTTGCTGGCTGACACGCTCAGGTAGCTGCTGGCCGCATACTTGTTGTTGCTCTGCTTGGAGGGCTTGGTGGTCTCCACGCCCTGGGAGACGGGGCTGCCATTTTCCTTCCAGGCCACTGTCACGGCTCCCGGGTAGAAGTCACTGACCAGACACACCAGTGTGGCCTTGTTGTTGCCGAGCTCGTCAGTGGAGGGCGGGAACAGAGTGACTGAGGGTGCGGACTTGGGCTGACCTGTGGGGTGGGAGGGCGGGAGCAGGAGGTCAAGTGTCAAGTTCAGAGGGCACTCTGCGTCTGAGTCTCCTTGTCATTGCACAGCACTTTTCTGTGTTCTTAAAGCAAGTCCCCACTCTCCTGAGTAACCCAGAGCTTGTGTGCCTGCCTTCACCTGTCCTGTTATCACTCTTCTGCCCCAGAGATGCCTGACTGTCACCCTCTTGGCTGTGCCTTTTCCTGAGAACAGGGTTTGTCTGTCCTTCTGCTTGTCCCCAGAGAGGAGGATATGAGCTCTCTGAGGTCCTCTGGGGCCAGTTTCTGTACATTTCTGACGTGAGACTTGTCTGCTGGGCTCCTGGGGTCTTTGTTTGAAGGGGTCCGTTTTTCTCTGAACTCTCTCTCCTGGACCTTCTCTCTCGTGATAGCAGCTTGGCTCGTCAAACAGACATCTTTCTATCTGCCCTCATTCTCTGTCCCTGCACTTTGTCACACCCCCTACACATTCAGGAAACTGGTCACACTGCTAGAGCCTTCATGCTGTAGGGTCTGCCCTTCTCTGTGTGAAATTTGTCCTGTGGAGCCCGAGCGGCACCCCTGTCCTCATCCCCTGTCATTGCATGACCTTTCCTCCAGCACCTTCTCCTCCCCACTGTGTTCTTCTGCGGCAGGGCTCTCCCATCCCAGCCTGGTGAAGGACACACGCATAGTTCCTGGCCCGTGATCAAAACCCCACATCCCAGAGGTCCTTCCATGAACTCTAAACCTGTGTGTCTCTAGCCATGGCCTTGAGGGCTCTGGGTCCTATAAAAGTCTGCATCTCATCACACCCTCAATAGTACTTATCCTCCCTTGCCCCTGAGATGGGACCTCTAGTAACCCCTAGAGATAAATCTCATACACAGGGCCAGAAAGGGAATGAAGAACAGAGGCCATCAAGAATCCGGCCTGAACCTGGCAGACACAGACAAAAGTCCACAAGTCATGCTGTCTCTTCCTCTGTCTCTGAGGTCAGAGTTGAAGATTTGATAGTGACCAGTGGAGGCAAGTAGGACAGTAAGAAGAGGGACAGGAGGAAGTCAGAGTCCCAGTAGCTGGGATCCTGGATGAAATCTTGGCTATTGCATGTGAAAGGAGTAGAATCAAGGGAAAATTTTCCAAGCTGCTGGGAGAGCAGGGAAGGACAGGGCATGAGAGACTCACCTAGGACGGTCAGATGGGTCCCTCCGCCGAACACAGCACACTGTGACACAGACTGAGACAAAAACCTCTGTGGGAGGCCCTGCCCCACCCCTGAGCCCCCCACCTGCAGCTGTGATGGAGGAAGCCCAGGCCTGTGCCCCAGGCTGCTGTCCTGTCTGCATGGGGCACACACACTCCCTCCCCCACAAGCAGATGCAGGGTGGGTGACACGGGGCATGTGCAGCAAGTGTTTTTGGACGCGATTCTCCCAAATGTTTTTGGTGTCCGACATGATGTCCCCCCTAGTTTCTACTGGGATTTGGGATGAGTTTGGCAGGCATTGGTGTCACTAGGCGTGGGTTTCCATGGCAATAGCAGGCACATGGCTTATAGGTGCTAACCACCCCAATTCCTTGGAAGGGGCATGAAGGGAGGGCAGAGTACAATTCCTCCCTCTCTACCTTCGCCTTCCAGGGAGAGGCAGGTGGCCTGTGTACAGAGTCCATTGGCCCCTTCCTATGTCCTAACCATCTAATCAGGAGTCCAGCCTTATCTTCTCTAGCGACAGCCTAGTGTGGGACTGCACTGTGTGAAGTCAGGGTGGTCATGCAGGAAATGGCTGACTTCCACTAGGGTCACCCTGCGAGTGTTCCCAGTGGTCCCTCAATCTGGTCTTATGTTGAGAAGGGTCTGGTGTTGGGGCCGTGGCTCTCCTTCAGTCAAAGGGGGACATGAGCAACACCTTGACTATGGCCCAAAGTCCCCTCTCTCCCTGAAGGGAACCTGCAGCAGTGGCTCATTTCATGCCAAGGGTTGGTCGGCCCAAGATGAGGCACATTATGTTGTGACCCAGAAGTAGGAGCCATAGAGATCCCTTGGGGTCATGTCAGGGCATCCAAAAGCTGCGCCACCACAGACTCCAATGGACACATGTCCACATTTGCAGCCACACTGTGGTCATTACTGGAGGATCATGGCACCGTGTTCACACAGCCGACACGTTCACACTGTGTCCCTTGTCACGTCACTCAGCAGCAATTGTTCTCCATGGCAGGAAGGCTGGGACCAATAGTCACTCTGTGACCTGGCAGACAACAGAGGATAGTCTCCATTTCTCCCTTCTTCCTGGTATGAAACTCACTGTGGGGTGAGGAGAGAGCCACTGAAAGCAATGACTGTAGGGCACTCACAGCAGGAGGTAGGCAGAACCGAAAATCCCCATGATGCATTCCTTCCTATCTGGTGGGTGAGTCATTAGACATGACAGTAGCTGAGGCCACTCAAAGGGGGTCAATCCAACTGTGCATCCCTTGGTTCAAAGTAAGCAACCAGACTGGGAGCAATTCTTCCCAAGTCCACCCTGGACCTTGTGAAGCCTCTGATGCCAGAACCACTTTGTAGAATTTGAAGAAGAGAACCCACCCAGGTACCATGTGGGGAGCCTGGGGACCTCACCCTGGCCCTGGCAGACTCTGCAGCTATACCCCTGCAGCCACTTCCTTGCAGGAAAATCGGGAGTGAATTGAGAGTTCCTTAGAGAGCCAACATCTGCCAATCATTATGTGAAACTACCCAATCTAGACATAGAGAAAAAACAAACGAAGAAACAAACAAACAAACATAAACAAATATAACGATACCCAAAATACAATCAAGGAAATACACTAGGATAACTATGAGCCATTTAATGAGAACATGTTTTTTGATATTCAAAAATTATCGATAATTTCTGTCAGGTATGATCATGATAATGTAGGTATCTCTGAGGACCATTCCTCTGAGCACCCTAACAAAATACTTACAGATGAAGAGTTACATCTGGAATTTGCTTCAACATATTGCATAAGATAGGACTTACTATGGTTTTGTAGGGTGAGCATGATGAGGGAATGGATGACTTTGGGGGACTTGTTGATAGAAACGTGGGGTCATTTGTATTCATCTGCCTTTTCATTCTTGTGTTCCCAGTTTTCCAAAATGAAAAACCACACAAAGTGAAAGGGAAATTGGTGTAACGTGGAGGTGACACTCAGGCCTTGTAGGAGCAGGGCCATCAAGATGAGAGAGAGCTGGGTGGCCCCTTCCCTGGAGGGACCTAAACATGCAGATTCAGGGAAGGGGTCAGACAGATGCTATGAGACCCTGGGATGCCCAACCTTCCTTCCACGTTTTCAGGTGTGATTGGGGCAGAGGTGGTTGTGATGAAGCTCCAAGGAGGCCCCTTCTTCTGCTCTGTTCTGCCTCCAAGGCTCCCTGCCCTTAAGTCCCTGGGTCTGGGCTGCTGTGGACACCCAGCAGCTGTGGTGAGGGTAGCTGCATGTCACTCAAGAGCTGGAGGTCCACACAGGGAGGCCTGGGATCCTGACAGCTGTGGCCTGGGAGTCTGCTGGGCCCTCACATCTGTGAGCTGAACACATATGCCTCAGGGCCTGGGGGGGAGGGTGTCTCTGACAGCAGGCTGCAGGTGCACCAGGGGCTGAGCACAGTGAGCAACAACTGAGGGGTGTGGACAGGGGCCTGAAACCACCCAGTCACCATGGAAAGAGGACCTTGCTGTACCCCCCAACCACACACACTTTTCCCTGAGCCAATCTGCCCCAATCTAACTTCAACCCCTCCTCTGAAAGTGGCCCCTCTCCTGATGTCTTTTCTGCACCCAGGACAGTGTCCTTTCTCAGTGACTCTGTTTTCGAGCCTCCCACTCATGCAGGCTGAAATCCTTAGCTGTGTCCATCAGCCCACCAAAATGAGCTCTCTCCCTGACCGACTTCAGATGTCCACACTCTTCATGGTTATGGTCCCTTAGCTCCTGGCTAGGGTAACCTAGATGTTGAACTTGATCCTCAAAACATCTGAACATAAACTCCTCAGCTGTGTGTTTCAGGCTCAACTATCACCCTCCTCATTGCTCCCTGATTCTTCCTCAGGGCCCCCAGTTCCCTGTTATTCAGCCCTTCTCCCTTCCCAGGTGACAAAGCCTGCATCCAGGGATCCTGCCAGACAACAAGTTCCTGCTCAGGGCCAGGCTTCCCATCAGCACACAGAGCTCACCTGCTCCCTGGGGGATTGTGTGGAGGGACAATGGTCAAGACGAATCTGTGTCATAACTACCCCCTCCCTTAATTACTGACCCTTTAACCTAGAGACCCATCCAGACACAGAATGCACATGACAAGGCTACGATAGATGATCAGGTGTTTATTATGGAGAAGTAGGAGAGGCGGGGGTGAAACTGGACAGGTTTCACCCCCATTAGAGCTGATTGGGGATGGACAGAGTCTGTGGATTACAGAGGAGAGGTGTGGAATGGGCCACTTGGCTGAGGAGGATCCCCGAATATGGGGCCTCGGTGTCTTAGGAACACTCTGAGGGGACCACTGTCTTCTCCACAGTGCTGCCTTCGTGGGTCACCTGGCAGCTGTACTGGCTGGCAGATTTCCACTTGCTGGCTGACACGCTCAGGTAGCTGCTGGCCGCATACTTGTTGTTGCTCTGCTTGGAGGGCTTGGTGGTCTCCACGCCCTGGGAGATGGGGCTGCCATTTTCCTTCCAGGCCACTGTCACGGCTCCCGGGTAGAAGTCACTGACCAGACACACCAGTGTGGCCTTGTTGTTGCCGAGCTCGTCAGTGGAGGGTGGGAACAGGGTGACTGAGGGTGCGGATTTGGGCTGACCTGTGGGGTAGGAGGGTGGGAACAGGAGGTCAGGTGTCAAGTTCAGAGGTCAGTCTGGGTCTGAGGGTCCTTGCTATGCACAACAGTTTGCTGTGTTCTTAACACCAATCCCCACTTTCCTGAGAGACCCGGAGCCTGGACTCCTGCCTTCACTGTCCTTTGGTTCTTCTTCTCCCCGACTGACACCAGCCTGTCACCTTCTTCGTTGTACCTTTCCCTCATAACAGAGAGTGCATTCTGTTTGCTCCCAGAGAAGATGATATGAGCTCTCTGATATCTTCCTGAGCCAGTCTCTGTACCCTTCTGTGTTGGTCTTTGTTGAAAGTGGCCTTTTTCTCTGAAATCTTTCTCTTTTGAAACTTCTCTGACATAGCAGGTCTTAGGAAGTCAAAGAGAAGCCTGTCTGCATATCCTCACTCTTTGTCCTTGTACTCTTGTCTCAGCCCCTGCACATTCAGCTCATTGATCATACAGCTAGAGCCTTCCTGAGTTAGAGTCTGCCTTTCTTTTTGTGAAGTGTGTCCCGCAGAAGGCGACGGGTCCACCTTGTCCACATCCCCTCCCCCTGCATGAACCTTGTTCCAGCACCTTCTCCTCCCCACTGTGTCCTCTGTCCTGCAGGGCTCTCCCGTCCCAGTCTGGTCCAAGACACTGTCCAGCAGCTTTGTGCAGGCCCCCTCTGCCCCTGCATATTTCCTGGTCCTTGGTCACATCCCAGCATCCCTGAGGTCCTTCCCTTCACTCTACACCTATGTGTCTCTAGCCATGGCCCTGAGGGTTCTACTTCCTTCCACAGTCTACACATCATCACCCCACCAATACTACTTAGCCACTCTCTCCCCAAAGTTGGCACTCCTAGTAAGCCCTAGAAATAAATCTGGAACCCCAGGACTGGAAGGGGAACACAGAATGGAGCCTGTTGTGAATCCAGCCTGACCCAGGCAGACACACACAAGAGTTTACAAGTCACATTGTCCATTCCTCTGTCTGTGGGGTCAGAGCTGAAGGATAGTGACCACTGGAGGCAAGGAGGACATGAAGAAGAAAGACAGAAGCAGCTCAGGGTGCCCATGGTTGGGATGCTGGGTGAAAGGTGGCTACAGGATGTGACAGGACTGAGAAAAGACTGAAAACAGCAGAAAGTTTCCCAGCTGCTGGGAGAAGCAGGGAAGGAGGGGGAAGGAGAGACTCACCCAGGACGGTCAGATGGGTCCCTCCGCCGAACACACCACACTGTGACACAGGCTCATACAAAAACCTCTGTGGGAGGCACTGCCCCACCCCTGAGCCCCCCACCTGCAGCTGTGATGGAGGCAGCCTGGGCCTCTACCCAGGGCTGCTATCTGCTCTGTATGGGACCCAGAAGCCCCCACTCCTACTACAAGCCAAAATATGTAACAGGACCAGTGTCTCTGTGTGCTCATGCGCTGGCTGCCTGGAAAGCCAGAATCCAGAATGTAGGTGTCCTCTGGGATCCCGCTTCCAAATGAGCTCCAGCAGGACTGGGGGCAGATTTCTTGGAGCCATTTGGGTCATAAGCAGTCAGGTTAATGGGAATGAGCAGATGTTCTCTTGTCTGAGGGGACTGGAGTGTCCTGCATCCCAGCAGGGACGGGTATGACCCCGGAGAACAGTAATTGTAGGAATGTACCTGTGGACCTCAGCCCCACCATGAGGTCTCAGCCTCATCTTCCCTGGTGACATGCGAGCTTGGGATTGCCCCGAGGGATTCTTCAACTTGTATTGCAAGCAGTGCCAGCTCATCCTCCATGAGGAACTCTGGAGATTCTCCTTTCCCTCCACGCTCGTGTTTTAAGGGATGAGGGTCTGGTGGTCCTGAGTCCTACATTCATGTTCAGAGCACTCTGATCAGGGTGGGTTCCAGCCCTGGGTTTGGAAAAGCTCAGGGAGCAACCATCATATTGTTGTGTCTACACAGGAGCTATGCATGTTCCCAGGTCCTGTCAGGGTCTCAAGCTACCCCCTGCAGGGGCTCTAGCAGAGAAGTCCCGTCATTGAGACCACACTGGCATGGACGCTAGAGGAAAACTGCAGTGCACTCGCACAACCGATACACATAGAATGTGTCATTTGTCGTTGTTTTATGTGTGAATTGTGCCCTTGGGAGGGCTGAAGGGAGCCACGTTCTCATTTTGTGAAGAGGGAAATAAAAGAAGAATCTTCACTTTGTATTTTTCACGAGAGAACGCACACTCTGTTGTGAAGGGAGAGCAGCTGAAGGGCCCCTGGTGAAGAGACAAAGTGGGTGTGGGGTCCTGAGATCCACAGAAGTGCTGTGTCCCCAGGGCAGCAGCGGGGGTGAGGGAGGTGTTGGAGAGGAACAGCTGACCCTGCTGTATCCCAGAATGCTCAGGCCCCCTGCCCTGAGGACTCCTGAACCTCCTCCCACAACTCTTGACTTTCAGATAACACGCTCTCCCTGGGACAAGACATGGTGCTCCCTCTTTGTTCAGGAAGGTGTCCTTCTTCATCTCATGTGCTGCCCTCATGATGGCAGAGGCCACCTGTACCCTCTGGGAACCAGCTGTGTGTTTGCTGTAAAAATGTCTAGTGTCTTTCTGACCTATGGTCCAGTGAGGAAGTTTGAGACACATCCTTAAGGGACACATTGTTCCAGATTACTGTGGCTGTGTGGTGACATACCAATGACACAACTTTACCTTGTAGTGGTTCAGCCCAGTGGGTTTCTTGTGGAAACAGGGAAGTTAAACAACTGTTCCTGTAGAAGAAGGCTTGGGTCAAGGGTCTTCTTCTCCCAAATACCTACCATTGACCCTCCCCAAGCCTCTTCATTTCTCACTGACCCTAAACAGTGGCCAGAAGCCTCTCACTCAGCCCTAGTCTCTTCCCAGGTGGCAAGGACCCGTTCCCTGGGGCCAGGCGTGCAGGACAAGTTCACCTTCTAGGTCATACTTGGTTCAGTACTGGGATCAGAGCTGGTTCCTGGGGAATAGGTGGGTGGGAGGCCAGGGAAAGAAAATTCATGCTGATGCAACCCCTGAGTCTGGATGACTAACCCTTCATCCCGAAGACGTCATCAGATGCTACACATACACAGAGGCACACAAAGATAAATGTCCAGGGTTTTATTGAGAAAATGGAGAAATGGGGAGTTTGTGAGACCAGCCCAGTCTGAGCAGACAGGGGTGGGAGTCTCAGGCACATCCTACAGTGGAGAGCTAGGGATTGGATGATGTGGCTGAGCAGAGTCCCAGGATATGGGGGCTCAGTGTCCTAGGAACACTCCGAGGGGACCACTGTCTTCTCCACAGTGCTGCCTTCGTGGGTCACCTGGCAGCTGTACTGGCTGGCAGATTTCCACTTGCTGGCTGACACGCTCAGGTAGCTGCTGGCCGCATACTTGTTGTTGCTCTGCTTGGAGGGCTTGGTGGTCTCCACGCCCTGGGAGACGGGGCTGCCATTTTCCTTCCAGGACACTGTCACGGCTCCCGGGTAGAAGTCACTGACCAGACACACCAGTGTGGCCTTGTTGTTGCCGAGCTCGTCAGTGGAGGGCGGGAACAGAGTGACTGAGGGTGCGGACTTGGGCTGACCTGTGGGGCAGGAGAGGGTCAAGTGGTCAGATGTCTAGAGGCCACTGTGGGTCAGAGGGACCTTGTCAGGAGCAAAAGTTTGCCCTGTTTCTAAAGCAACTCCCTGTGTTCCTGAGAAGCCAGGAACCTGGACAAGTGCCATCATCTGTCCTTTGGTTTTTCTTCTGTCCCTGAGACAACTGACAGTCACGTTCTTGGCTGTGTCTTTCCCTGATATTCAGACAGGGCTTGTTCTTCTCTTTGTTCCCAGAGAAGGTAATATTCGCTGTCTGAGTCCCTCTAGGGCCAGTCTCTGTACATTTCTGACCTGAACCTTCTGTGTCTGGATCTTACGGTCATTGTTCAGAGGGTCCTGTTTTTCCTCTGAAATCTCTCTCTCCTGGACCTTCTCTGACATGGCAGGTCTTAGGTAGTCAAAGAGAAGCCTTTCTGTCTGTCTTCAGGTCTCTGTCCTTGTACATTTGTCACAGCCCCTGTGCACTCAGCCCACTGGTCATGCAGCCATAGTCTCATGGTATAGAGTGTGCCCTTCCTTGGGTGAAGTTAGTCCTGTAGAGACCAAGGCCCACCTTGTCCTCATCCCCTGTCATTGCATGACCCTTCCTCCAGCACCTTCCACTGCCCTCTGTGTTCTCTCTCCTGCAGGGCTCTCCCGTCCCAGTCTGGTCAAGGACCCTGCACGGCAGCTGTGTGCCGGCCCCATCCATTCCTGCACAGTTTCCCGGGATGTGATCAGAAGTCTCATCCCTGAGGATGCTCCCTTATCTTTTGACCTGTGGAACTCTGTCCTTGGCATAAAGGGTTGAAGGGTCCTCCTAAGGGTCTATGTGGTCACCCCTTGAGGACTACTTGTCCTGTCTTCCCCTAGAAAGAGAACCCCTGGAAACCTCTACAAAAAAATCTTTTACACCATGGCCCAAAAGGGAACTCAGGACACAGCGCATCAGTAATGTATCCTGACCCTGGGAGACACAGAGAGGAGTCTATGAGTCAATCTGTGCATTCCTCTGTCTCTGGGGTCAGAGCTGAAGGTTTGATAGCATGGAGACAAGCAGTAGAGTAAGAAGAGGGAGAGGAGGAGCTCAGGGTCCCAAGATTTGAGATCCTGGCTGAAAGCTTGGCTAACGGGTTAGACTAAACCCAGGAAAGGAGCAGAAACAGCAGAAAATGGCACAAAGGTGTGGGAGAGTGGGGAAGGATGGGGAAGGAGAGACTCACCTAGGACGGTCAGATGGGTCCCTAAGCCGAACACCCAACACTGTGACACAGGCTCATACAAAAACCTCTGTGGGAGGCCCTGCCCCACCCCTGAGCCCCCCACCTGCAGCTGTGATGGAGGCAGCCTGGGCCTGGGCCCCAGCCTGCTGTCTGCTCTGCATGGTGCCCAGAAACCCCCACCCCAACTACAAGCTGCAATAAACAACTAGACTGATCACTCTAGGTGCTGAGGAGTAGGCTGCCAGGAATGCCTGGTTTTCCAATGTAGCTGTCCTCTGGGATCTCTTGTCTCCATGACCTTTTTGAGGACCTGAGACGGATTTCTTAGAGGCATTTTTGTCAGGAAGGAGTCAAGTTCCATGTGAATGAACAGAAGTTCTCTTCTTTCAGGGGTTTGGAGTGTCTTGCACCCCCACCAGGGAGGAGCATGACCCTGGGAGAACAGTAGCCAAGTGAATGCATGTCCAGTCCCCAGCCACATCCTGAGCTCTCTGTCTCTTCTTGCCAGGGGACATGGGAGTTTGGGATTGCCCCGAGGGAATGCTCTGTTTGTACTGCAAGCAATGCCAACCTTTCCTCACCAGGAACTTGGGAGTCTCTCCTTCTTCCACAATCGGGTTCTATAGGATGAGGGTCTAGTGGTCCTGAATGCTACATTCATGTGCAGGGCACCCTAGGAGGGTGGATTCCAGCCCTTGGTTCAGAAAAGCACAGGGAGCAACGATCATCTTGTTATCCATATGCAGGAATCATGGATGTTCCCAGGTCGTGTCAGGGTCCCCAGGAGCCCCCTGCAGGGTCTCTCTAGCAGAGAAGTTCCCTCATTGCGACCACATTGCCATGGACACTAGAGGAAAATTGCCTTGTATTGGCAAAGCAGATATAGACACATCTGTGGTTTGCCATTGTTTTTATGTGTTAATTGTCCCCTTAGGAGGGCTGAAGGGAACCTTATCCTCATTTTGTGAAGTGGGAAATAATAGGAGAATCCCCACTGTATCTCTTTTTCACTAGAGAACACACACTCTGTGGTGAAGGAAGAGCAGCTGAAGGTCCCCAGGGGTTGAGACAAAGTGAGTGTGGGACCCTGAGCTCAAGGGCTGTGCCCTGTCACTGAAGGGATGGCCCCTGCTGTGTGCAAGAGTGCAAAGGCCCCCTGCCCTGAGGTTTTCTGACTGGCCCTCCCTGTACTCATGATACCAGGGGACACACTGTCTTTGCCACAGGACATGGTGCTCCCTCTGTGCCCAGAATGGTTCCCTTCCTCATCTCGTGTCTTCCCCTCATGGTGGCAGTCACCTGCTCCCTGCGGGAACCAGCTGTGTTTTAGCTGCAGGAGCGGTCACTGTGTCACTGAGCTATGGTCCAGTGAGGGAGTTTGAGATAGGTCCTCAGGGGACACATTGCTCCAGATTTCTGTGGCTCTGTGGTGGCAGGCCAATGATAAAACCCTCACATTGTAATGGTTCATCCCAGTGGGTTTCTTGAGGAAACAGGGAAGTTAAACAGCTGTTCCTGTAAGAACAAGGCTTGGCTGAAGGGTTTTCTTCTCCCAAATTCCTGCCATTGACCCTCCTGGACCCTTCTCTTTTTCCCCTACCCTAGAAACTGGCCAGAAGCCTGTCATTCAACCCTTCTTCCTTCCCAGCTGACAAGGGTGCTTGGGGCCAGCACCACATGTCAAATTCATTTTCTGGGTCATGGTTCCCCCCAGTACTGAGATCACAGCTGGTTCCTAGGGAATAGGTGGGTGGGAGGCAGGGGGGCAGAATTTCATGCTGGAGCAATCCCTGAGTCTGGATGAATAACCCTGTGCCCTGGAGATGTCATCAGATGCTGAACACACATGGAGGCACACAATGATAAATGACCAGGGTTTTATTGAGAAAATGGGAAATGGGGAGGCAGCGAGACCAGCCCAGCCTGAGCAGACAGGGGCGGGAGTCCCAGGGGTACAGTGGAGAGGTTGGGAATGGGTGATCTGGATGAGCAGAGTCCCAGAATGTGGGGGCTCAGTGTCCTAGGAACACTCCGAAGGGACCACTGTCTTCTCCACAGTGCTGCCTTCGTGGGTCACCTGGCAGCTGTACTGGCTGGCAGATTTCCACTTGCTGGCTGACACGCTCAGGTAGCTGCTGGCCGCATACTTATTGTTGCTCTGCTTGGAGGGCTTGGTGGTCTCCACGCCCTGGGAGACAGGGGCTGCCATTTTCCTTCCAGGCCACTGTCACGGCTCCCGGGTAGAAGTCACTGACCAGACACACCAGTGTGGCCTTGTTGTTGCCGAGCTCGTCAGTGGAGGGCGGGAACAGAGTGACTGAGGGTGCGGACTTGGGCTGACCTGTGGGGCAGGAGAGGGTCAAGAGGTCAGATGTCTAGAGGCCACTGTGCGTCCGAGGGACCTTGTCAGGAGCAAAAGTTTGCCCTGTTTCTAAAGCTACTCCCTGTTTTCCTGAGAAGCCAGGAGCCTGGACAAGTGCCATCATCTGTCTTTGGTTCTTCTGTCCCTGACACAACTGACAGTCACATTCTTGGCTGTGTCTTTCCCTGATATTCAGACAGGGCTTGTTCTTCTCTTTGTTCCCAGAGAAGATAATATTCGCTGTCTGAGTCCCTCTGCGGCCAGTCTCTGTACGTTTCTGACCTGAACCTTCTATATCTGGATCTTAGGGTATTGTTCAGAGGGTCCAGTTTTTCCTGTGAAATCTCTCTCTCCTGGACCTTCTCTGACATGGCAGGTCTTAGGTGGTCAAAGAGAAGCCTTTCTGTCTGTCTTCAGGTCTTTATCCTTGTACATTTGTCACAGCTCCTGCACACTCAACCCACTGGTCATGCAGCCAGTGTCTCATGGTATAGAGTGTTACATTCCTTGGGTGAAGTTTGTCCTGTGGAGACCGAGGCCCACCTTGTCCTCATCTCCTGTCATTGCATGACCCTTCCTCCAGCACCTTCCACTCCCCACTGTGTTCTCTCTCCTTCAAGGCTCTCCGTCCCCATATGCTCAAGGACACTGCATGGCAGCTGTGTGCGGTCCTCCTCTAGCCCTGCACTGTTCCCCTGGCTGTGATTAGGCATCTCATCCATGAGGATGCTCCCTTATCCTCTGACCTGGGTCACTCTAACCTTGGCCTTGAGGGGTGAAGGGTTCTTCTAAGAGTCTACTTGGTCACCCCTTCAGGACTGTTTGTCATGTGTTCTCCTAGAGAGAGAAACCGTAGAAACCTCTCCAAAAATCTGGTACACCAAGGCCCAAAAGGGAACTCAGAACACAGGCATCAGGAATGCATCCTGACCCTGGGAGGCAAGCAAAGAGTCCAGGAGTCAATGTGTCCATTCCTCTGTCTCTGGGGTCAGAGCACATGGTCTGACAGTGACCATGGAGACAAGCAGGACAGTAAGAAGAGGGAGAGGAGGAGCTCAGGGTTCCAAGGTTTGGGATCCTGGGTGAGAGCTTGGCTACAGGCTGAGACTAAACCCAGGAAAGAAGCAAAAACAGCAGAAAAGTGCACAAAAGTGTGGGAGAGTGGGGAAGGATGGGGAAGGAGAGACTCACCTAGGACGGTCAGATGGGTCCCTCCGCCGAACACCCGACACTGTGACACAGGCTCATACAAAAACCTCTGTGGGAGGCTGTGCCCCACCCCTGAGCCCCCCACCTGCAGCTGTGATGGAGGAAGCCTGGGTCTCTTCCCTGGGCTGCTGTCTGCTCTGCATGGGGCCCAGAATCCCTCACCCCTAGATCAAGCCACAACATTTAACAGGACATGTGGCTCTGTGTGGTCCTGAGCTGGCTGCTTGGAAAGCCAGGATCCAGAATGTAGTTGTCCTCTGGGATCCCTTGTCTCCATGTCCTTCACCAGGATTGGGGATGGACTTCTTAGGAGGCATTGGTGTCTTAAGGAGTCAAGTTCCATGTGAATGAGCCAAAGGTCTCTTCATTTAAGGGTTTGGAATGTTTTGCACCCACAGTAGGGAGGAGTATGATCCTTAATAGCTGTATCCAGGTGAATGCATGTACAGTTCCCAACCACACCCTGAGGTCAGCCTCATCTTCCCTGTGGACATGCCAGTTTGGGATTGCCCCAAGGGATTCTTCAGCTTGTACTCAAGCAGTGCCAGCCTGTGCTTCATGGGGACCTCTGGAACCTGTCCTTCTTTCTCCACAATGAGGTTTCATTACATGAGGATCTGGTGGTCCTGAACCCTATAGTCATGTTCAAGGCACCCTTTCAGGGTGGGTTCCAGCTCTGGGTTTGGAAAGGCACAGGGAGCAATGATCATGTCATCTGTATGCAGGAGCCATGGATGTTCCCAGGTTGTGGCAGGGTCCCCAGGAGCCACCAGCAGGATCTAACAGAGAAGTTTCATCATTGAGACTGCATTGCCATAGACACTAGAGGAAAAGTGTAGTGTACTCGCACAGCAGGATACAGACACAATCTCTCATTTGTCATTGTTTTTATATGTTAACTGTCCCCTTAGTAGGGCTGAAGGGAAACTTATCCTTATTTTGTGAAATGAGAAATTAAAGAAGAATGTCTATCTACTTTTACTAGAGAACACACACACTCTGAGGTGAAGGAAGAGCTGTTGAAAGTCCCTGGGGGTTGAGCCAAGTGGGACTCAGTGGGGCCCTGAGCTCAATGGCAGTGCTGGGTCCTGGAGAGGGAGGGGCTGACCTGGATGTAGCCCACAGGACCCCTGTCCTGAGGACTTCTGACCTGATCGCTCTCTACTGCTGAATTCCAGGGGACACACTATCCCTGGGACAGGATATGGCACTCCCTCTGGGCCCAGGAAGGTGCCTTTTTAATTGCATGCCCCGCCCTGGTGAAGGCAGACACCACCTGCTCCCTCCAGAAACCAAGTCTGTGTTTGCTGCAGGAGCGGTCAGTGTGTTACTGAGCTATGGTCCAGTGAGGGAGTTTGAGACAGGTCCTCAGGGGACAAATTGCTCCTGATTTCTGTGGCTCTGTTGTGACCAGCTGATGACAAAACCCTCACCTTGTAATGGTTCACCACAGTGGGTTTCTTGAGGAAACAGAGAAGTTAAACAGCTTTACTTTCACAAGAAAAAGACTTGGCTCAAGGGTCTTCTTCTCCTAAATTCCTAACTTGAACTCTTCGGGACCCTCTTCATTTCTCCCTGACCGTGAAAAGTGCCCAGAGGCCTCTCACTCAGCTCTTCTCCCTTCTATGGTGACAAGGACCAGTTCCCTGGGGCCAGGCCTGCAAGTCAACTTTATCTTCTGGGTCACAGCTCCCCCCAGTACTGAGATCACAGCTGGTTCCTAGGGAATGGGTGGGTGGGAGGACAGGAAAAAAGAATTTCATGCTGCACTGACCCCTGAGTCTGGGTGAGTAACCCTTCATCCTGGAGATGTCATCAGATGCTGAACACACATAGAGGCACACAATGATAAATGACCAGGGTTTTATTGAGAAAATGGGAAATGGGGAGGCAGTGAGACCAGCCCAGCCTGAGCAGACAGGGGCGGGAGTCCCAGGGGTACAGTGGAGAGGTGGGGAATGGGTGATCTGGATGAGCAGAGTCCCAGAATGTGGGGGCTCAGTGTCCTAGGAACACTCCGAGGGGACCACTGTCTTCTCCACAGTGCTGCCTTCGTGGGTCACCTGGCAGCTGTACTGGCTGGCAGATTTCCACTTGCTGGCTGACACGCTCAGGTAGCTGCTGGCCGCATACTTGTTGTTGCTCTGCTTGGAGGGCTTGGTGGTCTCCACGCCCTGGGAGACAGGGGCTGCCATTTTCCTTCCAGGCCACTGTCACGGCTCCCGGGTAGAAGTCACTGACCAGACACACCAGTGTGGCCTTGTTGTTGCCGAGCTCGTCAGTGGAGGGCGGGAACAGAGTGACCGAGGGTGCGGACTTGGGCTGACCTGTGGGGTGGTAGGGGAGCAGGAAGTCAGGTGTGTAGTTCAGAGGCCACTGTGGGTCAGAGGGTCCTTGACATACACAACAGTTTGCTGTGCTCTTAACGTAACTCGCCACTTTCCTCAGAGAGCTGGAGTCTGTACACCTGTCTTCACCGGCCCTTTGGTCCCTCGTCTGCCCCACTGACACCTGACTGTCACCATCTGGGTTGTATCTTTCCTCATAACAGGGTGTGTCATTCTGTTTGCCCCTTGAGAAGGTGATATGAGCTCTCTGATCTCTTGCGCCAGTCTCTGTACCCTTCTCTGGTGGGCTGTTTGGATCTTTGTTCAAAGGCTCCAGTGTTTCTCTGAAACATCTCTGGACCTTGCATGTTATGGTAGCATCTTGGCTAGTCAAACAGATGCCTTTCTGTCTATCCTCGGTCTCTGTCCTTGTACTTTTGTCACACCCCTCACACACTCAGCTCACTCATCATAGAGTTAGGGCCTTCATGCTGTAGAGCCTGTCTTTCTTTGTGTGAACTTTGTCCTGCTGTTACCGAGGGGCCCACCTCATCCTCGTCCCCTCTCTGCATGACCCTTCTGCCAGTGCCTTCTCCTCCCCACTGTGTTTTCTCTCCCTCAGGCTCTCCCATCGCAGTTAGTAGAGGACACTACATGGCAGCTTTGTGCAGGCCCCCTCAGTCCTTCATATTTCCTGGCCTCTGATCATAACCCCACAGTCCCGAGGTCCTTTCCTTAACTCTACACCTGTGTGTCTCTAGCCATGACCCTGAGGGTTCTTGTTCCTTCAAAAGTCTGTATGTCATCAAACCCTCAATACTACTTACCCTCCCTTCCCCCAGATGTGGGACCCCTAGTAATCCACAGAAGTGATTCTGGAATCCTGGTACTCGAAGGAGAACACAGAACAGAGCCCGTCATGGATCTAGCCAGACCCAGGCATACAGAGGGGAGTCTACAAGTCACTCTGTCCATTCCTCTGTCTCTGGGGTCAGAGGTGAGTGTCTGATAGTGACCATGGAGACAAGCAGGACAGCAAGAAGAGGGAGAGGAGGAACACAGGGTCCCAAGGTTTGAGATCCTGGGGGAAAGTTTGGCTACAGGCTGAGACTACACCCAACAAAGAAGCAAAAACAGCAGAAAAGTGCCCAAAAGTGTAGGAGAGCAGGAAGAGGGGGAAGGAGACTCACCTAGGACGGTCAGATGGGTCCCTCCGCCGAACACAACACACTGTGACACAGACTCAGACAAAAACCTCTGTGGGAGGCCCTGCCCCACCCATGAGCCCCCCCACCTGCAGCTGTGATGGAGGAAGCCTGTGTCTGTGCCCCAGGCTGCTGTCTGCTCAGCATGGGACACACACACTCCCTTCCCCCACAAGCAGATATAGGGTGCGTGTCATGGGCCACGTGCAGCAACAGTGCTGTGGAAAGGAATTCTCCCAATTCGTTTTGGTGTCTGATGTGAATTCCCCACTACATCTCCTTGGATTTGGGATTAGTCTGAAGGGCATTGCTGTCACTGAATAGGTTGCCTTGACAATGGATGACGCATCTCTCATAGGTTCAAATCATCCAAATCTCATGGAGACATAAAAGGAGGGCAGAATACATCCCCTCCTATGTACCTTCCCCTTCCTGGGAGAGGCATGTGGCCTGTGGACAGAGTCTATCGGCCACCTCTTATGTCCCCAACCATCAAACAGGGGCCCAGACTTATCTTTTCCAGTGACAGCTTAGTTTTGGACTGCACTGACTGAAGTGAGGGTGGCCTTTTAGGAAATGGCATCCTTCCTTTAGGATCACCTTCTGAGTGTTCTCTGTGTCCCTTAACCTGGTCACATGTTGAGAAGGATCTGGTGCTGCCATTGTGGCTCTCCTTCATTCAAAGGGGGACATGAACAGCACTTTGACTGTGGCCCTAAAACCCTGTTGCACTGAAGGGAACCTGCAGCAGTGGCTCCTTTCAGGCCAAGTGTTGGTCTCTCGAGGATGAGGCACATTATGTTGTGACCTACAAGTAGAGCCATAGAGATCCCCCAGGGTCATGTCAGGGCATCCAGAGGTCCTCACACACAGATGTTCCCCATGGACAAATGTCCAGCATTTGCAGACACACTGTGGTCATTGGTAGAGGACAATGGCTACCTGTTCACACAGCAGACACGTTCACACTGTGTCCCTTGTCACGTCACTCAGCAGCAATTGTTCACCATGGCAGGAAGGCTGGAACCAAAAGGACGTTCTGTGACCTGGTGGACAACAGAGGACAGTCTCCATTGCTCCCTTCTTCCTGGTGTGAAACTCACTTTGGGATGAAGTTAGCGCCACTGAAGGTGCTGACTGTGGGGAACTCACAGCAAGAGGAGGGCAGAACTGAGAATTCCCAGGATGCATTGCTTTCCTACCTGCTGGGTGAGGCATTGCGCAGGACTGTAGCTAAGGCCACTCCAAGGGGTCAATGCCACCATGCCTCCCTTGGTGCAAAGTAAGCAATCAACCTGGGAAGCAATTTCTTCCCAAGACCAATCTGAATCTTGTGAAGCCTCTGATGTCAGAACCACTTTGTAAGAATGTGAAGCAGAGAATCCCACCCAGGTACCATGTGGGGAGCCTGGGGACCCAATCCTGACTCTGGGAGACTCTGCACTACCAGCAGCTCCAGAGCCACAGCCACCTCCTCCCATGAAAACCTGGAGCAAATTAAGAAACACGTGGAGAGCCAGCATCTGCCAATCACTATGTGAAACTTCATCCAATCCATGTAGAGAGAGAAAAAAAACAAACAAACAGATAACCAAATATAACGATACCCAAAATTCAATGAACTACGAGCCATTAAATGAGAGAGTGTTTTTTGATATTCAAGAATTATTGATAATTTCTGTCAGGTATGATCATGATAATGTAGGTATCTCTGAGGACCATACCTCTGAGCACCCTAACAAAATACTTACAGATGAAGAGTTACATCTGGAATTTGCTTCAACATATTGCATAAGATAGGACTTACTATGGTTTTGTAGGGTGAGCATGAGGAGGGAATGGATGACTTTGGGTGACTTGTTGATAGAAACGTGGGGTCATTTGTATTCATCTGCCTTTTCATTTCTGTGTTGCCAGTTTTCCACAATGAAAACCCACACAAAGTGAATGGGAAATTGGTGTAATGTGGAGGTGACACTCAGGCCTTGTAGGAGCAGGGCCATCAAGATGAGAGAGAGCTGGGTGGCCCCTTCCCTGGAGGGACCTAAACATGCAGATTCAGGGAAGGGGTCAGACAGATACTATGGGACCCTGGGACGCCCAATCTTCCTTCCACGTTTTCAGGTGTGATTGGGGCAGAGGTGGTTGTGATGAGGCCCCTTCTTCTGCTCTGTTCTGCCTCCAAGGCTCCCTGCCCTTAAGTCCCTGGGTCTGGGCTGCTGTGGACACGCAGCAGCTGCGGTGAGGGCAGCTCCATGTCACTCAAGAGCTGGATGTCCACACAGGGAGGCCTGGGAGTCTGGCAGCTGTGGGCTGGCAGCCTGCTGGGCCCTCACATCTGTGAGCTGAACACATATGCCTCAGGGCCTGGGAGGGAGGGTGTCTCTGACAGCAGGCTGCAGGTGCACCAGGGGCTGAGCACAGTGAGTAACAACTGAGGGGTGTGGACAGGGGGTCTGAAATCACCCAGTCACCATGGAAAGAAGACCTTGCTGTACCCCCCAACCACACTCACTTTGCCCTGAGCCAATCTGCCCCAACCTAACTTCAACCCCTTCTCTGAAAGTGGCCTCTCTCCTGCGGAAATCACTGAGGTCCTTTCTGCACCCAGGACAGTGTCCTTTCTCAGTGACTCTGTGTTTTCGAGCCTCCCACTCATGCAGGCTGAAATCCTTAGCTGTGTCCATCAGCCAACCCCAAATGAGCTTTTTCCCTGACCGACTTCAGATGTCCACACTCTTCATGGTTATGGTCCCTTAGCTCCTGGCTAGGGTAACCTAGATGTTGAACTTGATTCCCAAAACATCTGAACATAAACTCCTCACCTGTGTGTTTCAGGCTTATCTCTCACCCTCCTCATTGCTCCCTGATTCTTCCTCAGGGTCCCTGATCCCTGATACTCAGCCCTTCTCCCTTCCTAGGTGACAAAGCCTGCTGAATCCAGGGGTTCTGTCCGACAACAAGTCCTGCTCAGGGTCAGCTTTCCCATCAGCACACAGAGCTCACCTGCTCCCTGGGGGATAGGGTGGATGGACAAAGGTAAAGAGGAATCTGTGTCATAACTACCCCTCCTTTAATTACTGACCCTTTTACCTAGAGACCCATCCAGACACAGAATGCACATCACCACTTTATGACAGATGATCAGGTGTTTATTAAGGAGAAGTAGGAGAGGTGGGGGTGTGACATTTCCAGTCAGATCTGACTGGGGATGGTCGGAGTCTGTGGATTACAGTGGAGAGGTGGGGATTGGATGATCTGGCTGAGCAGAGTCCCAAAATATGGGGGCTCAGTGTCCTAGGAACACTCCGAGGGGACCACTGTCTTCTCCACAGTGCTGCCTTCGTGGGTCACCTGGCAGCTGTACTGGCTGGCAGATTTCCACTTGCTGGCTGACACGCTCAGGTAGCTGCTGGCCGCATACTTGTTGTTGCTCTGCTTGGAGGGCTTGGTGGTCTCCACGCCCTGGGAGATGGGGCTGCCATTTTCCTTCCAGGCCACTGTCATGGCTCCCGGGTAGAAGTCACTGACCAGACACACCAGTGTGGCCTTGTTGTTGCCGAGCTCGTCAGTGGAGGGCGGGAACAGGGTGACCGAGGGTGCCGACTTGGGTTGACCTGTGGGGTCGGAGTGGGGGAGCAGGAGGTTGGGTGTCCATTTCAGAGGCCAGTTTGCGTCAGAGGGTCCTTGCCACCCAAAACAGTTCTCTGTGCTCTTAATGCAACTCCCACTTTACTGAGAAATCCGAAGCCTGGACACCTGCCTTCACCTCTCCTTTGGTCTCTCTCCTGCCCCAATGACACCTGACTATCACACTCTTGGTTGTTCCTTTTCCTCATAACAGGGAGTGCATTCTGCTTGCTCCCACCAAAGATCATGTGAGCTCTCTGATCTCTTCTTGGGCCCGTCTGTGTACCCTTCTCTGCTTGTCGTTATTGAAAGTGGCCATTTTTCTATGAAATCTCTCTCTCCTGGACTTCTCTGACATAGCAGGTCTTAGGTAGTCAAAGAGAAGCCTTTCTGTCTGTCCTTGTACATTTGTCACAGCCCCTGCACACTCAGCCCACTGGTCATGCAGCTAGAATCTCATGGTATAGAGTCTGCCTTTCTTTATGTCCAGTGTGTCCCAAAGAAGCCAGTGGGTCCACCTTGCCCACATCCTCTTCCCCTGCATGAACCTTGTTCCAGCACCTTCTCCTCCCCACTGTGTCCTCTGTCCTGCAGGGCTCTCCCATCCCAGTCTGGTCCAGGACACTGTCCAGCAGCTTTGTGCAGGCCCCCTCTGCCCCTGCATATTTCCTGGTCCGTGGTTAGATCCCAACATCCCTGAGGTCCTTCCCTTCACTCCACACCTGTGTGTCTCTAGCCATGGCCCTGAGGGTTCTACTTCCTTCCACAGTCTACATATCATCACCCCACCAATACTACTTAGCCACACTCTCCCCAAAGGTGGCACCCCTAGTAAGCCCTAGAAATAAATCTGGAACCCCAGGACTGGAAGGGGAACACAGAATGGAGCCTGTTGTGAATCCAGCCTGACCCAGGCAGACGCACACAAGAGTTTACAAGTCACATTGTCCATTCCTCTGTTTCTGGGGTCAGACCTGAAGGATAGTGCCCCTGGAGGCAAGGAAGACATTAAGAAGAAAGACAGAAGCAGCTCAAGGTGCCCATGGTTGGGATGCTGGGTGAAAGGTGGCTACAGGATGTGACAGGACTGAGAAAAGACTGAAAACAGCAGAAAGTTTCCCAGCTGCTGGGAGAAGCAGGGAAGGAGGGGGAAGGAGAGACTCACCCAGGACGGTCAGATGGGTCCCTCCGCCGAACACATTACACTGTGACACAGGCTCATACAAAAACCTCTGTGGGAGGCCCTGCCCCACCCCTGAGCCCCCCAACCTGCAGCTGTGATGGAGGCAGCCTGGGCCTCTACCCAGGCATGCTGTGTGCTCTGTATTGGACCCAGAAGCCCCCACCCCTACTACAAGCCAAAATATGTAACAGGACCAGTGTCTCTGTGTGCTCATGCGCTGGCTGCCTGGAAAGCCAGGATCCACAATGTCGGTGTCCTCTGGGATCCCTTGTCTCAGTGAACTACAGCAGGACTGGGGGGGCGGATTTTTTGGAGGCATTTGGCTCATAAGGAGTGAAGGTCATGGGAATGAGCAGAAGTTCTCTTCTTTCAGGGGTTTGGAGTGTCCTGCATCCCAGCAGGGACGGGTATGACCCCGGAGAACAGTAATTGTAGGAATGTACCTGTGGACCTCAGCCCCACCATGAGGTCTCAGCCTCATCTTCCCTGGTGACATGCGAGTCTGGGATTGCCCCGAGAGATTCTTCAACTTGTATTGCAAGCAGTGCCAGCCCATCCTCCATGAGGAACTCTGGAGATTCTCCTTTCCTTCCACGTTCGGGGTTTATAGGATGAAGGTCTGGTGGTTCTGAGTCCTACATTCACTTTCAGAGCACTCTGATCAGGGTGGGTTCCAGCCCTGGGTTTGGAAAAGCTCAGGGAGCAACCATCATATTGTTGTGTCTACACAGGAGCTATGCATGTTCCCAGGTCCTGTCAGGGTCTCAAGCTACCCCCTGCAGGGGCTCTAGCAGAGAAGTCCCGTCATTGAGACCACACTGGCATGGACGCTAGAGGAAAACTGTAGTGCACTCGCACAACCGATACACATAGAATGTGTCATTCGTCATTGTTTTATATGTGAATTGTGCCCTTGGTAGGGCTGAAGGGAACCACATTCTCATTTTGTGAAGAGGGAAATAAAAGAAGAATCTTCACTTTGTATTTTTCACGAGAGAACGCACACTCTGTTGTGAAGGGAGAGCAGCTAAAGGGCCCCTGGTGAAGAGACAAAGTGGGTGTGGGGTCCTGAGATCCACAGAAGTGCTGTGTCCCCTGGGCAGCAGTGGGGGTGAGCTAGGTGGGAGGAACAGCTGACCCTGCTGTATCCCAGAGTGCACAGGCCCCCTGCCCTGAGGACCTCTGAACCTCCCTCCCACAACTCTTGACTTTCAGATAACACGCTCTCCCTGGGACAAGACATGGTGCTCCCTCTTTGTTCAGGAAGGTGTCCTTCTTCATCTCATGTGCTGCCCTCTTGATGGCAGAGGCCACCTGCACCCTTGGGAACCAGCTGTGTGTTTGCTGTAAAAATGTCTAGTGTCTTTCTGACCTATGGTCCAGTGAGGAAGTTTGAGACACATCCTTAAGGGACACATTGTTCCAGATTACTGTGGCTGTGTGGTGACATACCAATGACACAACTTTACCTTGTAGTGGTTCAGCCCAGTGGGTTTTTTGTGGAAACAGGGAAGTTAAACAACTGTTCCTGTAGAACAAGGCTTGGGTCAAGGGTCTTCTTCTCCCAAATTCCTACCATTGACCTTCCCCGAGCCTCCTCATTTCTCACTGACCCTAAAAAATGGCCAGAAACTTCTCACTCAGCCCTAGTCTCTTCCCAGGTGGCAAGGACCTGTTCCCTGGGGCCAGGCCTGCAGGACAAGTTCATCTTCTGGGTGAAACTCCCCCAGTACTGAGATCACAGCTGGCTCCTGGGGAATAGGTGGATGGGAGGACAGGGAAAGAAAATTCATGCTGATGAGACCCCTGAGTCTGGATAAGTAACCCTTCATCCCGGAGACATCATCAGATGCAACACACACATAGAGTCACACAATGATCAATGTCCAGGGTTTTATTGAGAAAATGGGAAATGGGGAGGCAGTGAGACCAGCCCAGCCGGAGAGACAGGGACGGGAGTCCCAAGGGTACAGTGGAGAGGTGGGGAATGGGTGACTTAGCTGAACAGCATCCCCGAATATGGGGGCTCAGTGTCCTAGGAACACTCCGAGGGGACCACTGTCTTCTCCACAGTGCTGCCTTCGTGGGTCACCTGGCAGCTGTACTGGCTGGCAGATTTCCACTTGCTGGCTGACACGCTCAGGTAGCTGCTGGCCGCATACTTGTTGTTGCTCTGCTTGGAGGGCTTGGTGGTCTCCACGCCCTGGGAGACGGGGCTGCCATTTTCCTTCCAGGCCACTGTCACGGCTCCCGGGTAGAAGTCACTGACCAGACACACCAGTGTGGCCTTGTTGTTGCCGAGCTCGTCAGTGGAGGGCGGGAACAGAGTGACTGAGGGTGCGGACTTGGGCTGACCTGTGGGGCAGGAGAGGGTCAAGAGGTCAGATGTCTGGAGGCTACTGTGGGTCAGAGGGACCTTGTCAGGAGCAAAAGTTTGCCCTGTTTCTAAAGCAACTCCCTGTGTTCCTGAGAAACCAGGAGCCTGGACAACTGCCATCATCTATCCTTTGGTTCTTCTTCTATACCTGAGACAACTGACAGTCACGTTCTTGGCTGTGTCTTTGCCTGATATTCGGACAGGTCTTGTTCTTCTCTTTGTTCCCAGAGAAGATAATATTCGCTGTCTGAGTCCCTCTGCGGCCAGTCTCTGTACATTTCTGACCTGAACCTTCTGTGTCTGGATCTCAGTGGGTCCAGTTTTTCCTGTGAAATCTCTCTCTCCTGGACCTTCTCTGACATGGCAGATCTTAGGTAGTCAAAGAGAAGTCTTTCTGTCTGTCTTTAGGGCTCTGTCCTTTTACATTTGTCACACACAGTCCCTGCACACTTAGCCCACTGGTCATGGAGCTAGAGTCTCATGGTATAGAGTGTGCCCTTCCTTGGGTGAAGTTTGTCCTGTAGACACTGAGGCCCACCTTGTCCTCATCCCCTGTCATTGCATGACCCTTCCTCCAGCACCTTCCACTCCCCACTGTGTTCTCTCTCCTTCAAGGCTCTCCCATCCCCATCTGCTCAAGGACACTGCATGGCAGCTGTGTGTGGTCCCCCTCTAGTCCTGCACTGTTCCCCGGGCCGTGATCAGACATCTCATCCATGAGGATGCTCCCTTATCCTTTGACCTGTGTCACTCTAGCCTTGGCCTTGAGGGGTGAAGGGTTCTTCTAAGAGTCTATGTGGTCACCCCTCAGGACTGCTTGTCATGTGTTCTCCTAGAGAGAGAAACCATAGAAACCTCTCCAAAAAATCTGGTACACCATGGCCCAAAAGGGAACTCAGAACACAGGCATCAGGAATGCATCCTGACCCTGGCAGCCAGGCAAAGAGTCCAGGAGTCAATGTGTCCATTCCTCTGTCTCTGGGGTCAGAGCACATGGTCTGATAGTGACCATGGAGACAAGCAGGACAGTAAGAAGAGGGAGAGGAGGAGCTCAGGGTCCCAAGGTTTGGGATCCTGGGTGAGAGCTTGGCTACAGGCTGAGACTAAACCCAGGAAAGAAGCAAAAACAGCAGAAAAGTGCACAAAAGTGTGGGAGAGTGGGGAAGGAGGGGGGAAGGAGAGACTCACCTAGGGACGGTCAGATGGGTCCCTCCGCCGAACACCCGACACTGTGACACAGGCTCATACAAAAACCTCTGTGGGAGGCTGTGCCCCACCCCTGAGCCCCCCACCTGCAGCTGTGATGGAGGAAGCCTAAGTCTCTTCCCTGGGCTGCTGTCTGCTCTGCGTGGGGCCCAGAATCCCTCACCCCTAGATCAAGCCACAACATTTAACAGGACATGTGTCTCTGTTGTATGTCTGTGTGGTCCTGAGCTGGCTGCCTGGAAAGCCAGGATCCAGAATGTAGTTGTCCTCTGGGATCCCTTGTCTCCATGACCTTCACCAGGATTGGGGATGGATTTCTTAGGAGGCATTGGTGTCTTAAGGAGTCAAGTTCCATGTGAATGAGCCAAAGGTCTCTTCATTTAAGGGTTTGGAATGTTTTGCACCCCCACTAGGGAGGAGTATGATCCTTAATAGCTGTATCCAGGTGAATGCATGTACAGTTCCCAACCACACCCTGAGGTCAGCCTCATCTTCCCTGTGGACATGCCAGTTTGGGATTGCCCCAAGGGATTCTTCAGCTTGTACTCAAGCAGTGCCAGCCTGTGCTTCATGGGGACCTCTGGAACCTGTCCTTCTTTCTCCACAATGAGGTTTCATTACATGAGGATCTGGTGGTCCTGAACCCTATAGTCATGTTCAAGGCACCCTTTCAGGGTGGGTTCCAGCTCTGGGTTTGGAAAGGCACAGGGAGCAATGATCATGTCATCTGTATGCAGGAGCCATGGATGTTCCCAGGTTGTGGCAGGGTCCCCAGGAGCCACCAGCAGGATCTAACAGAGAAGTTTCATCATTGAGACTGCATTGCCATAGACACTAGAGGAAAAGTGTAGTGTACTCGCACAGCAGGATACAGACACAATCTCTCATTTGTCATTGTTTTTATATGTTAACTGTCCCCTTAGTAGGGCTGAAGGGAATCTTACCCTTATTTTGTGAAATGAGAAATTAAAGAAGAATGTCTATCTACTTTTTACTAGAGAACACACACACTCTGAGGTGAAGGAAGAGCTGTTGAAAGTCCCTGGGGGTTGAGCCAAGTGGGACTCAGTGGGGCCCTGAGCTCAATGGCAGTGCTGGGTCCTGGAGAGGGAGGGGCTGCCCTGGATGTAGCCCACAGGACCCCTGTCCTGAGGACTTCTGACCTGACCTCCCTCTACTGCTGAATTCCAGGGGACACACTATCCCTGGGACAGGATATGGCACTCCTTCTGGGCCCAGGAAGGTGCCTTTTTAATTGCATGCCCCGCCCTGGTGAAGGCAGACACCACCTGCTCCCTCCAGAAACCAAGTCTGTGTTTGCTGCAGGAGCGGTCAGTGTGTTACTGAGCTATGGTCCAGTGAGGGAGTCTGAGACAGGTCCTCAAGGGACACATTGCTCCTGATTTCTGTGGCTCTGTGGTGACACACCAATGACAAAACTTCTTCTTGTAATGGTTCACCCCAGTGAGTTTCTTGAGGAAACAGGGAAGTTATACAGCTATTCCTGTAAGGAAGAGGCGTGACTCAAGGGTCTTCTTCCAAGTTCTTAACTTTAACCCTCCCAGACCCTCTTCATTTCTTCCTGACCCTGAAAAGTGCCCAGAGACCTCTAATTCAGCCCTTCTCCCTTCCCTGGTGACAAGGACCAGTTACCTGGGCCAGACCTGCAGGACAAGTTTATCTTCTGGGTCATGCTCCCCCCAGTACTGAGATCACAGCTGGTTCCTGGGGAATAGGTGGGTGGGAGGCCAGGGAAACAGGATTTTATGCTGGAGCAATCCCTGAGTCTGGGTGAGTAACTCTTCATCTTGGAGACATCATCAGATGCTGAACACACATAGAGTCACACAATGATAAATGACCAGGGCTTTATTGCGAAAATGGAGAAATGGGGAAGCAGTGAGACCAGCCCAGTCTGAGCAGACCTGGGCTAGAGTCCCAGGGGTACAGTGGAGAATGGGGGATGTGGATGAGCAGAGTCCTAGAATGTGGGGGCCCAGTGTCCTAGGAACACTCTGAGGGGACCACTGTCTTCTCCACAGTGCTGCCTTCGTGGGTCACCTGGCAGCTGTACTGGCTGGCAGATTTCCACTTGCTGGCTGACACGCTCAGGTAGCTGCTGGCCGCATACTTGTTGTTGCTCTGCTTGGAGGGCTTGGTGGTCTCCACGCCCTGGGAGACAGGGGCTGCCATTTTCCTTCCAGGCCACTGTCACGGCTCCCGGGTAGAAGTCACTGACCAGACACACCAGTGTGGCCTTGTTGTTGCCGAGCTCGTCAGTGGAGGGCGGGAACAGGGTGACCGAGGGTGCGGACTTGGGCTGACCTGTGGGGTGGTGGAGGGGCAGTAGGTCAGGTCTAGTTCAGAGGCCAGTCTGGGTCTCAAGGTCCTTGTCAGGTGCAGCAGGTTCTGACTTCTTAAAGCAAATCCCCTTTTTTCCTGAGAAACTCTGAGCCTGGACACTTGCCTTCAACTGTCTTTTGGTCCCTCTTGTGCCTTATAGACACCTTAATGTCACCCTCTGGGCTGTGCCTTTTTCTCATAACAGGGTGTGTCATTCTGTTTGTCCCCAGAGAAGATGATATGAGCTTTCTGATCTCTTCTTGGGCCATTCTCTGTACATTTCTGTCCTGGCTCTTCTGTGCTGTACTCTTAAGGTCTTTGTTCAAAGGGTCGGTTTTTCTCTGAAATCTCTCTCTCCTGGACCTTCTCTTACATGGCAGGTCTTAGAGAAGTCAAAGAGAAGCCTTTCTGTCTGTCCTTGATCTCTGTTTTTGTACATGTGTCACACCCTTTGCACTCTCAACCCTCTTGTCATACAGCTAGAGCCTTCCTGTTTAGTCTGCCTTTCTTAGTATGAAGTGTGTCCCACAGAGACTGAGGGGCCCTCCTTGTCCTCATCCTCTGTCATTGCATGACCCTTCCTCTAGCACCTTCTCCTGCCCACTGTGTTCTCTCTCCTCAGGGCTCTCCCACCTCAGTCTGGTCAAGGACACTGCACAGCAGCTGTGTGCTGGCCCTGTCCACGCCCGCATCATTCCCGGCCTGTGATCATAACCCTATATTCCAGAGAAACTTCCATTAATTCTACACCTGGGTGTCTCTAGCCATGACCCTGAGGGTTCTGGATCCTTCTAGGTCTCCCCCTGGTCAGCCCCTCAGGACTACTTATTCTCTCTTCCCCTGGAAATGGGACCCTTGGTAACCCCTAGAAATAAATCTTATATACCAGGGTTTGAAGGCTATCAGTGATGAGACCCTGTCAGGAATTCATCCTGACCCTGGCAGACAGAGAGAAGAAAGTACAAGATATTTGGTCTGCTCCCCTGTCTTGGGTCAGATTTGAAGCTCTGATAGTGACCAGTGGAAGCAAGTAGGACAGTAAGAAGAGGGACAAGAGGAGCACAGGGTCTCAGTAGCTGGGATCTGGGGTAAAGCTTGGCTACAGCCAGGGACAAAACTCAGAAAAAGAGAAGAAAGAGCATAAAAGTTTCCAAGCTGCTGGGAGAGTAGGGAAGGTGGGGCAATGGGAGACTCACCTAGGACGGTCAGATGGGTCCCTCCGCCGAACACAGCACACTGTGACACAGACTCAGACAAAAACCTCTCTGGCAGCCCTGCCCCACCCCTGAGCCCCCCACCTGCAGCTGTGATGGAGGAAGCCTGGGCCTGTGCTCCAGGCTGCTGTCTGCTCTGCATGGGGCACATGTACTCCCTCCCCCCACAAGCAGATGCACGGTGGGTGACATGGGCCATGTGCAGTAACATTGCTGTTGAAAGCAATTCTTCCCATTGATTTTGGTGTCTGCCATAATGTCCCCATTACTGTCTCCTGGGATTTGGCGGGCAATGCTGTCACTAACAGTGAGGTTCCATGGTAATGATGGCACATTGCTCATAAGTTAAATCATCCAAATTTCTTGGTGGCATGAAAGAAGGGTAGAGTACAATCCCTACCTCTGTACCCTCCCCTTCCAGAGACAGGCACTTGGCCTGTGTACAGTGTACTAGCCACTTCCTATGTCCCCAGTCATCAAATCAGGGGCCCAGCCTTATCTTTTCCAGTGACAGCCTAGTGTGGGACTGCACTGTGTGAAGTCAGGGTGGCCTCAAAGGAAACGGTGGCCTTCCTTTAAGGTCACCTTCTGAGTGTTCTCTGCTGTCCCTTAACCTGGTCTCATGTTGAGAAGAGTCTGGGGCTGTCGCTGTTTTCTCCTTCATTCAAAGGGGGACATGAGCACATGAGCAGTAGCTTGACTGTGGCCTTAAATCCCTTTTGCACTGAAGGGGACCTGCACCCATGTTCATTTCAGGCCAAGTGTTGGTCTGCCCAAGATGAGGTAGAATATGCTCACCCAAAAAGGCAATATCATAGAGATCCCTTGGGGTCATGTCAGGGCATCCAGAAGCACTTTCTGAAAGAAGCTCCAGTAGACAAATTTCCACATTTGCAGCCACACTGTGGTCATTACTGGCACCGTGTTCACACAGCAGACACATTCACACTGTGTCCTTTGCCACGTCACTCAGCAGCAATTGCTCACCATGGCAGGAAAGCTGGGACCAAAAGGATGTTCCGTGACCTGGTGGACAACAGAGGACAGTCTCCATTGTTTCCTTCTTCCTGGTGTGAAACTCACTGTGGGGTGAGGAGAGAGCCACTGAAGGCAATGACTGTGGGGCACTCACAGCAGCAGGAGGGCAGAACTGAAAATTCCCATGATGCATTCCTTCCTAACTGGCGGGTGAGTTATTGCACAGAACTGCAGATAAGACCACTCAAAGGGGTCAATGCGACCATGCATCCCTTGGTGCAAAGTAAGCAACCATCTGGAGACCAATTCTTCCCAAGTCCACCCTGAACCTCGTGAAGCCTCTGATGCTAGAACCATTTTGTAAGAATGTGAAGCAGAGAAACCCACCCAGGTACCATGTGGGGAGCCTGGGGTCCCCACCCTGACCCTGGAAGACTCTGCAGTTCCAGCCCTGCAGCCACTTCCTTGCAGGAAAATCTGGAGTGAATTGAGAGATCCTTAGAGAGCCAACATCTGCCAATCACTATGTGAAACTATCCAATCCAGGAAGAGAGAGAAAACAAACAAACAAACAAACAAACAAACAAACATAACCAAACATAACGATACCCAAAATTCAATGAAGGAAATACACTATGAGCCATTAAATGAGAGAGTGTTTTTTAATATTCAAGAATTATTGATAATTTCTGTCAGGTTTGATCATGATAATGTAGGTATCTCTGAGGACCATACCTCTGAGCACCCTAACAAAATACTTACAGATGAAGAGTTACATCTGGAATTTGCTTCAACATATTGCATAAGATAGGACTTACTATGGTTTTGTAGGGTGAGCATGAGGAGGGAATGGATGACTTTGGGGGACTTATTGATAGAAACGTGGGGTCATTTGTATTCATCTGCCTTTTCATTTCTGTGTTGCCAGTTTTCCACAATGAAAACCCACACAAAGTGAATGGGAAATTGGTGTAATGTGGAGGTGACACTCAGGCCTTGTAGGAGAAGGGCCATCAAGATGAGAGAGAGCTGGGTGGCCCCTTCCCTGGAGGGACCTAAACATGCAGATTCAGGGAAGGGGTCAGACAGATGCTATGGGACCCTGGGACGCCCGATCTTCCTTCCACGTTTTCAGGTGTGATTGGGGCAGAGGTGGTTGTGATGAAGCTCCAAGGAGGCCCCTTCTTCTGCTCTGTTCTGCCTCCAAGGCTCCCTGCCCTTAAGTCCCTGGGTCTGGGCTGCTGTGGACACCCAGCAGCTGTGGTGAGGGCAGCTCCATGTCACTCAAGAGCTGGATGTCCACACAGGGAGGCCTGGGAGTCTGGCAGCTGTGGGCTGGCAGCCTGCTGGGCCCTCACATCTGTGAGCTGAACACATATGCCTCAGGGCCTGGGAGGGAGGGTGTCTCTGACAGCAGGCTGCAGGTGCACCAGGGGCTGAGCACAGTGAGCAACAACTGAGGGGTGTGGACAAGGGGTCTGAAATCACCCAGTCACCATGGAAAGAGGACCTTGCTGTACCCCCCGATCACACTCACTTTACCCTGAGCCAATCTGCCCCAACCTAACTTCACCCCCTTCTCTGAAAGTGGCCTCTCTCCTGCGGAAATCACTGAGGTCCTTTCTGCACCCAGGGCAGTGTCCTTTCTCAGTGACTCTGTGTTTTCGAGCCTCCCACTCATGCAGGCTGAAATTGTTAGCTCTGTCCGTCAGCCCACCCCAAATGAGCTCTCTCCTTGACCGACTTCAGATGTCCACACTCTTCATGGTTACCCTGGCTAGGGTAACCTAGATGTTGAACTCGATCCCCAAAACATCTGAACATAAACTCCTCACCTGTGTGTTTCAGGCTCACCTATCACCCTCCTCATTGCTCCCTGATTCTTCCTCAGGGCCCCCAGATCCCTGTCATTCAGCCCTTCTCCCTTCTCAGGTGACAAAGCCTGCATCCAGAGATCCTGCCAGACAACAAGTTCCTGCTCAGAGCCAGGCTTCCCATCAGCATACAGAGCTCACCTGCTCCCTGGGGGATTGTGTGGAGGGACAATGGTCAAGAGGAATCTGTGTCATAACTACCCCCTCCCTTAATTACTGACCCTTTAACCTAGAGACCGATCCAGACACAGAATGCACATCACCACTTTATGACAGATGATCAGGTGTTTATTAAGGAGAAGTAGGAGAGGTGGGGGTGAGACATGTCCAGTCAGATCTGACTGGGGATGGTCGGAGTCCCTGGATTACAGTGGAGAGGTGGGGAATGGGTGACTTAGCTGAACAGCATCCCCGAATATGGGGGCTCAGTGTCCTAGGAACACTCCGAGGGGACCACTGTCTTCTCCACAGTGCTGCCTTCGTGGGTCACCTGGCAGCTGTACTGGCTGGCAGATTTCCACTTGCTGGCTGACACGCTCAGGTAGCTGCTGGCCGCATACTTGTTGTTGCTCTGCTTGGAGGGCTTGGTGGTCTCCACGCCCTGGGAGACGGGGCTGCCATTTTCCTTCCAGGCCACTGTCACGGCTCCCGGGTAGAAGTCACTGACCAGACACACCAGTGTGGCCTTGTTGTTGCCGAGCTCGTCAGTGGAGGGCGGGAACAGAGTGACCGAGGGTGCGGACTTGGGCTGACCTGTAGGGTGGTGTAGGGGCAGTAGGTCAGGTCTAGTTCAGAGGCCAGTCTGGGTCTCAAGGTCCTTGTCATGCACAGCCGTTTCTGTGTTCTTAAAGCAAGTCCCCACTTTCCTGAGTAACCCAGAGCCTGGACACCTGCCTTCCCTTGTCCTTTGGTCCCTCTTCTGCCCCATAGACACCTTAATATCACCCTCTTGGCTTTGCCTTTTTCTCATAATAAGGTCTGTCTGTCTTTCTGTTTGTCCCCAGAGAAGATAATATGAGCTCTCTGAGCTCCTCTGGGGCCAGTTTCTGTACATTTTCGACCTGACCCTTCTGTGTTGGGATCTTAGGGGTTTTGTTCGAAGGGTCCAGTTTTTCTCTGAAATCTCTCTCTCCTGGACCTTCTCTGTTATGGCAGAATCTTGGCTAGTCCAACAGATATCTTTTTGTCTGTCCTTGGTCTCTGTCCTTGTACCTTTGTCACACCTCCTGCACACTCAGCCCACTGATCATACAGCTGTAGCATTCATGCTGTAGAGTGTGACCTTCTTTGTATGAAGTTTGTCCTGCAGAGACAGAAGCTCCCACCTTGTCCTCATCCCCTGTCATTGCATGACCCTTCCTCCAGCATCTTCTCTTCCCCATTATGTCCCCCCTGCTACAGAGGTCTCTGGGACACAGGCCAGTTTGGATACTACAGGGCAACTGTGTGCTGGCCTCTGAGAGGCTTTTCAGACCTGCATCTTTCCTGGTTCTTGATCCCAGCCCCACAACCTAGAGGACCTCCCTGAACTCTACACCCATGTGTCTGAATCCTTTGCCTTGAGGGTTCTGTGTCCTTCTAACATCTCATGTTTCCACCCTTATGATAACTTTTCCTCTTTTCCTCTTGAGATTGGATCCCTAGTGACCCCAGAAATAATTCAGGTCCTACAGAAACTCAGAGGAAGACTGAACAGGTCATCCTATACATTCCTCTGTCTCTGGGGTCAGAGGTGAGTCTCTGATAGTGACCATGGAGACAAGCAGGACAGTAAGAGGGACGGGAGGAGCTCAGGGTCCCAAGGTTTGGGATCCTGGGTGAGAGCTTGGCTACAGGCTGAGACTACACCCAGGAAAGAAGCAAAAACAGCAGAAAAGTACACAAAAGTGTGGGAGAGTGGGGAAGGAGGGGGAAGGAGAGACTCACCCAGGACGGTCAGATGGGTCCCTCTGCCGAACACCCAACACTGTGACACAGGCTCATACAAAAACCTCTGTGGGAGGCCCTGCCCCACCCCTGAGCCCCCCACCTGCAGCTGTGATGGAGGAAGCCTGTGTCTGTGCCCCAGGCTGCTGTCTCCTCTGCATGGTGCACACATACTCCCTTCCCCCAATAAGCAGACACAGGGTAGGTGATATCGGGGCATGTGCAGCAACAGCGTTGTTGGAAGTAATTCTCCCAATTGATTTTGGTGTCCGTCATGCTGTCCCCATTATTGTCTCCTGAGATTTGGGATGAGTTTGGTGGGCATTGCTGTCACTACCAGTGAGGTTCCATGGCAATAGATGGGGCATTGGTCATAAGTTCTAACCACCCCAATTCCTTGGTAAGGACAAATGAGGGGAGGGTAGAGTACAATCCTCCCCTCTCTACTTTCCCCTTCTAGGGAGAGGCACATGGCTTGTGTACAGGGTCTACCAGCTACTTCCTATGTCCCCAGTCATCAAATCAGGGACCCAACCTTTTCTTTTCCAGTGACAGCCTAGTTTTGGACTGCACTGGTTGAAGTCAGGGTGGTCTTCTAGGAAATGGCTGCCTTCCTTTAAGGTGACCTTGTGAGTGTTCCCTGTGGTCCCTCAATCTGGTCTCATGTTGAGAAGGGTCTGGTGTTGCTGCCGTGGCTCTCCTTCATTCAAAGGGGGACATGAGCAGCACCTTGACTATGGCCCTAAGTCCCGCCTCGCACCGAAGCGAATCTGCGCCAGTGGCTCATTTCAGACCGAATGTAGATCTGGCCAAGGTGAGGTACTGTATGTTGTCACCCAGAAAGACAATGTCATAGAGATCCCCTGGGGTCATGTCAGGGCATCCAGAAGCACTTTCTGAAAGAAGCTCCAGTGGACAAATTTCCACATTTGCAGCCACACTGTGGTCATTACTGGAGGATCATGGCACCGTGTTCACACAGCAGACATATTCACACTGTGTCCTTTGCCATGTCACTCAGCAGCATTGCTCACCATGGCAGGAAAGCTGGGACCAAAAGGATGTTCCATGAACTGGTGGACAACAGAGGACAGTCTCCATTGTTTTCTTCTTCCTGGTGTGAAACTCACTGTGGGGTGAGGAGAGAGCCTCTGAAGGCACTGACTGTGGGGCACTTACAGCAGCAGGAGGGCAGAACTGAAAATTCCCATGATGCATTCCTTCCTATCTGGTGGGTGAGTCATTGCATAGGACAACAGCTAAGGCCACTCAAAGGGCGTCAATCTGAACCTGCGTCCCTTGGTGCAAAGTAAGCAATCAACCTGGGAAGCAATTTCTGCCCAAGTCCAACCTGGACCTTGTGAAACCTCTGATGCCAGAACCATTTTGTAAGAACATGAAGCAGAGAAACCCACCCAGGTACCGAATGGGGATCCTGAGGACCCCACCCTGACCCTGGGAGACTCTGCACAACCAGCAGCTCCAGCCCCGCAGCCTCTTCTTTGGAAAGAAAATCTGGTTCCTGTTGGGAGATACTATGGAGCCTATATGCACCAGTCACAATCTTAAACCTTATTCCATCCTTATATGTAAGCAAATAAACATCCCAAAATGACAACAGTACCTAAGATACAGCCAGTAAGTGCACTTTGGACTATTACGAAGCATATGATGAGGAACTGAGTATTTATGGATATTAATGATTTAATCATAATTCCGTTTTGGTTCAAGGGTGATATTTTTGTTATACTTTAGGTTCTTATCTTTTAGTGAACAAATGAATCTTTTACAGATTAAAGACATGATACTGGAATTTGAATACTCACAAGGTGAGCTTCAAAATATTGCAGAAGGGAGAATTTCTCCTGTTGTTGTGTCGGCATTGCCAGTAAATTGATTATTTTGTGATCTGGTTATTCAGGACATGGGAGTATTCTTATTGCTCTGTGTCCTTATTTTTGTGTTTTCACTTTTTCTCAATAAAAACTTACAGGAAAATAACTGAGAGATCAGTGCAGGGCAGCCCCAGAGGTGGGTGGATCCTGGCATTCCAGCAGCACAGCCATCGAGATGAGGGAATCCCGGTGGTTCTACCTTTCCTCTGTGCCTCATGTTCAGATCCATGCAATGGGGTCTGACAGATGTTGGGGGCCAGTAGGACACCCTACTCTTCCTTCCACTTATCGGGTGATTTGGGGGTGGGTCACCAGGATCAAGCTCCAGGGGGTCCCATTCCTCTGCCCCATTGTGGCTACAGTGCCCCCTGTCCTTGCAAGTTCTCTTCCTGGGCTGTCCCAGTTGCTCAACAGCTCTGGTGAAGGCAGCTCCATGTCCCTGATGAGTTGGAGGTTCGGACAAGGGACCTAAGAGGCCAGAGACCCTGAGGTATGACAGAGCTGGATGGGTCTGCACCTTTGAGAGGTGGACAAAACCTGTCTCAGGGACCTGGGAGTGAGTGTGTTTCTGGCACCAGCTGCGGGTGCACTCAGGGCTGAGCCGAAGTGAGCAAGGGGACAGAGGGCCTGTGGGTAGAGTGGTCTGGGGGTTCCATGTCACCAGGGAAGCCTGACTTTGCTGAAACCCAGAGGCCACCCTCACCCTGCTCTGAGCTAGTCTTATTCTAGTCCTGAATTCCAGTTAGCATGCCCTTCTCCTATATCACTGGTGCCCAGGACGGACGGTGCCCTTTCCTATTCATCTAGGCTCCCGGGTGCCCCCCCACTGCCGGCTGACATCACCTGCTCCATCATAAACCAACCATAAAACCTCTCTCCCTGATCTGACTTCAGGTGTGGAGACTCTTCATGATGGGTGACCCAGCCCCCTGTTGGGGTCACCTTGAGCCTGACCCAGGCCCATCAGAACATAAACTGAGCTTCCTTGTGCCTCAGCTGCACCCCTTCTTCCCAGCACCAGTGACCATGCCCTGAAGCCCGTTCCAGAGATCCCTGAGTTGGTAAGGGGTGTGAGCATGATTGGGGAACTGTTAGGCTACATGATATGAAAGTGTATCTCTGCTGCAAGCCTTGTCTGTGTCTTTACTTGGATAATGTGCATTGTCAAAGTTTGGGAAGCACACTTAGGGGATGCATGGTTCAAAGCTCTCCATGGTTCCAAGGTGACGGGCTACCCATGATCCCCTCACCGTTCCCTGTTGGGTTCCTTGATGGAACAGCCAAGACCATGGCCTTGGCCCAAGGGTATCTTTTCCCCATATTTCCAACTGTAGCCCACTGCTACTCTCCTGGATCTCTCTTCATCTCTCCCTGATTCCTCCTCAGGGCCCCTGGGTCTTGCTCACTCAGCCCTTCTCCCTTCCCCATGGACAAGGACAGCATTCCAAGGCTGGCCCTGTAGGGCAAGTCCCTGCTCTGGGTCAGGGCTCCCACTGGCCCTCAGAGGTTATTCAAGTCAGGTTGGTTGAGTGGATGATGAGTAGATGGGCCCTCATGTCATTACTGTCCTACCCTTTATTACTGACCTTTTAACCTAGAGACCCATTCAGAATACAGAACACACACCAGAAATGCCAGATGATAAATGATCAGGGTTTTATTAAGGAGAAGTAGAAATGGGGAGTTTGTGAGACCAGCCCAGTCTGAGCAGACCTGGGCAGGAGTCCCAGGGGTATAGCAGAGAACTGGAGAAAGGAGGTTCTGGCTGAACAGG